GACTATGATTGCAGTGCTTCTTATACATATATTTTTTCACTTGGACTGGCTATTCATATGTACCATATGAACTACTTCTACAAAGTTTTCGGTTGAAGATATGTTTGATAGCTTGATTCGATCGATACTACTATTAATAGGTGGTTTTTAGACAAAACATTTTGGATTAAACCATGGTCAAGTCTTTTTCAAGGTTCTCATTATTCTTTCATGTTTAGAAAAATTATGCAATAAGTTAACTAGTTGTCTTACAACAAGCTTTTTAATGTGACCATATGACTTAGTTTTACTGGCACTTTTTTAATTTTTGACATTTCAGAACCAACAACCGTGAGGATATAGTACAGTACGTTACCTGTAAAGTTACTGCGTTAACTGAATTGATTCCACATACCTAATTTTAAACACAACTTATAAGAGAACTGTTAAGTAATCATAACACTGAACTGACGATATGAATGTCATGGCTATACTAACGTTAAACCAATTATTATTAGTGGTTCATACAAAATTCTGGAACTTAACACCAGCGTTATAAAAAACATGTTTTGTCAATAACTTGTGTTTTTTGTTGGCTTAAGTTCAACGTAAAATGAAAATCTATGAAACTTGTAGTATTTCTATAGTATTATTATTAATGTAAACAACGAACTTGTACAGTTCCAATATGGCACTTTGAAATATCAATCTGTCCTCTTGTCATTTTTTCTCATATCTGAGCGAATTACGAGCAAAAACATCGTATGCAAAGGGGATTTTATGAACAAAAACGCAGGCCCTACACGCACTCTAACCTCTGCCCAACTGAATGCTAGACCACGAGCTTAGCCAACAGACCACGTCAGACCGTGGGGGGAATGACTACAGTATTTCCTTACACGGATTATTCATCCATAATACTAATGAGTAATAAGACTTACACACTTCTAAGGTGCAGACCAATTCGTTACCTGAATGAATTGAGGAAATATTGCTTCAATATATCGTGCATACCTACATCAAACCAGAAAAGGGTATTTGACACAAATGTACTTGACCCTCGTACCCTACATAATTTTTTCCTCCTTAACCGTATACTCATTTCCGTTTTGTGGAGTACTCTTATGCACCCTTGGTTATGTACCTGGTTATAAAAGGCGGTCATCATAGGCTCAAAGCCATACATCTGATCTGGTTTGACAAAGAGTCCAACTTCTTGCAAGTTCACACTTTTACATATATGCATTACAAAATAGTATTTTTTGTTTTCATACTTTTTCGTACACAAGATGTCTACATTATGTCCATCTCCTTCCAGAATGCCAGTCCATTCTGAGGATCAATCACTTACGTGGAACTGAACAATTATCAATTATATTCATGTATTTCCATTTTGTATCTTATTATTTTATGCAGGCAGTGAACAGTCCTCCAGGTTTGATTGGTTTTCACCATTTCCTTTGAAGTAGATTCTTTTTACATTTTACTTGAGGGCGACTCAAGAGGCAAGTGAGTAAACACCTGATAGCCGGTCTGAGCATGGAGAAATCGTACCTGACCAACATGGTGTTGAGCAGCCCGCTCGCGGCACTTCCTCAGATATTCTTGTTCCATATTCTGACACTCTCTTTTGAGGACATAGCAAACCGTCAGCGATAGTTGTAGAAGAAATCACATGCTGCAAAATGAGATGACAAGCCTGCAAATGAAGAGACATCCATGGACTATCGTTGATTGCTGACGAAGTTAGTCGTCAATGATTGCAAGTTAAGCAGTGAGCGAGTTGACGATTTTCCCTTGGGCTGAGAAAACAGAACTAAGGTGTTTTTGATAGATAGGTTAATCAAACCGACGTTCCAACGAAAGTCGATTCTAAGGGGAAGCTAATGTAACGGCTTGGGTTAGTTAGTTAAGAGTTCACCTCAAGCAACCAAGCATATGTCAAAACAGTATGGCTCAAGTATTCATTCACTTCCTTATTTTGTATAGACGTTATATTTCCTATTATCTTGTTGAGAGGCTTTGTTTGTCTGAACAAATAATTCTACACTCCACTGTGACTGCGCGAAGATCTAAATAAAGACTACTTGTCTAGTTCCTTCTATCAACAGCACGAGGGTTACTTAGAGGCACGAAACATGTACTTCTCCAGTTTTAGCTAAACCACCTTGAAATATATTTAGAACAACAGTTGAGGTTGCTTCCAAGTTCAGTTAATTCTTTTGAGGTCCCTCCTTAATCGTTGATACGATATGTCCTTCGGTTAACCACTTTTCCTTACTCCTTCAGGACACTGAGTTAGGGCTTGTCTGGCGATTTGGTTTGATTATCCCCTCAATCTGTGTCCTACCCACCTCCAACATATTTTCACAACATCCTCTTCAGCTAGAAGTTCGTTTGCTCCTTGACGTAGTAAGTTGTTGTTAATGCTATTCCGTTGATTGATCTATAGTATCTTGTGTAGGTAATAAATTTTAGATGCTCCTACTTTTTTGAAGACGGTTTTAGTAGTTCTCCAAGTTTCAATTTTGTGGAATAAAATTAATTGTCTCGACGTTTGTGCTGAAAGTGATTCACCAGTAATGCTCCATCTGTATTTCGACAGGACCATTTTTGGCAAACCTATTATGATAATGACTGGTAGCTGAACCCAAATGCAATCCGAGCTACTGAACAACTTATTGAAAATTCTTGGCTTCAACAGAATAAATTGCACGACATATCACCCATAAGCCAGTGGGATGATAGCATGTTGCCTTCATTAGTTAAGTGCTACCCTAATATCACACTCAAACCCCACTTAATGGACAGAGTTCCGGACATTATTTGTGTCGGGATAAGGAACAGCTGACAAAACTGATCGGAAGTATTCAGCAGCAGATCTAGTCTTCTCTGCGACTTTAAGGCTACTAGGCGAGTTTATCAATACTTGTACCAAAAATAAAAAGCTTTTCCTAGGACGTTATATCAACCAACTACATGAGCGTATGTTCAAATTAGACCGGTAAACACCTGTGAGTTGTCGTGGGCCACATATGTGCTCTAGATCTCAAGCACTTGAACGCAGAGATGGACAAGATATGGTGACAGAACGAACCATCATATGTGGTATTAGACCGCTTGCCTGACAAAACAATTACACAGCTCAAAAATATAAACGACATCTCTTCACATATGACTTCAAATGTTAGATGAGCAATATTGATTATTCAACGAAGTATATCTACATTTCTTGCTTGGTCCCGAAACCTAAGCACATATGCAGAGAAATTCTAATTTCTTTTAAAATGTTCGGTGCATTTAAACAATGAAAAATAAGAGAGTGTTTTTTTGCATGCCGTTTCCCCGTATTTTTTCGAGGAGGCTAAATTGTGGTAGCTTTAATCAGTACCTTACTCGCTCTACCTCGGATCCTCTACGTAACACATCCGGCTGAGATTAGTGATCCATTCTGACTACGTCTGAGGAAATAACCTTCTGTCCAGATTTTTATACTTACGAGAGAAAATAGTGAGATAATTGAATGCGAGCACTAAAAAATCCCTGTTGATTCCTACTGCCAGACCAAAACATTTATGTAGAACCCAACATTTCTCAATTTTGAAAGTACAATTCCTTTTGCATCTCATCAGCTTTTACGAACAGTGGAGCAGCTCTTCGGTTTCAGCTGTCTGTTGATTTATTAAAAACCGTTTCCTTATTTCTGACTATAGGATGGTTAAAATAGCAGGTGAGCAAACACTTGACAGATGGACAGAGCACTGTAAAATCGTACTTTACCAACATGGTGTTGGGTAGCCCAATTTAGGCTCTTCTTCAGATGTCCATAATATTACCCCGAAAGTCAAGTCAGTGAGAGTGGAACGAAGCTCTTCAGGTGGCCAAACCTTGAATGAATGAGTAGTCAAAAAGGCGCTTGTATATTCAAAGAGACCACAAACTCTCACAACTGCTGAAGCACAATTTACTGTCCAACAAATTCAGTCCGTGGAACGTAGTTACCTCGATTGACCGGTTTTCTCAACCTACGTCTCAAAATGCTCATTGAAACGACGAGGAGATATATACTGAACAAGATTAGGTTTATAAAAATTCAGGGATTGGAAAAACAGAGTTGGATGTTTATTGACCCGTGCAAAAGCAATGATATTAATATCTCATCTTTCTTGATATCCACTGTTTAAGATCATACTCTTCGACCTGAAGAACAGGGTTTTGTGGAATTTCCTGCACACTTCAATCGCTTAAGAGAATAAAATTCCCCTGAAAACCTATCAGGCGATTTTCACCAAACTCGGCATATCTGGTCACATCCGTATGTTATTATCTATTCTGAGAGAATAAATGACAAGTACTGTATTCCAAATCGTCAGTAAGAACGTGATGGTTGACTGTGATGTTGGAGATGTTCGTCCGAATCGGGTCGTACAACCGGCAGGGGCTACAATAAGATAATTTCAGCTACCATTCTGTGAGTTTCTGCATAGTGCAGTGTTTTTATTATGGAGATGGAAAGGAGTCCCTGACGAGAAGCAAATTTTTTGGATGACATGTTCTTCAGATTTTCGGCTGCTTTGTGGCTGAGATAGTTTCAGCTTGATCATCAGACCTCGGTCCGCACTATCCCGTGCGCAGCACTTCACCTGTGATGACGAAAGTAACACTGATAAAGACCTTTCCATATTATGAACGAAAAACTCAGTTTCTTCATGAAAAACTATGGAGCCAGCTGAAAAAAAACGGCCAACACACATGAAACTGGACAGATTTCAAAAAGAAGATTAACCAATATAATCTGAAAGCTCGGAAAATATTCTTTTGACGAAGATTATTACTTTTGTTGGGTCTGAATATGGGAAAAGTTTGAAAAGTTCAGATAGCATAGAACAGTATGTTCTATTCTTTACCATTATCCATCTCTTATAATCTGAATTGTGATTTCAGGGTGCTGATAACTAATTTTTTTTTACAATACCGAGATTTGATCTCTTGGCTATTGAATATTTTTCTGTACTCTCATTATTCAACTTTTGCGTTACTTACCCAATAATGGTGTGCTTGTTTGGCTAGTAATCGTTAGTGAAGTATTTGCTTAGAGTAAACTTTAGTTTATGATGGCTAATACGTAGTATTCATTATTTTGTTATTGTCACTACCATATGGTTCGATATACTTAAAGCGCCCCATGCATTCCGTGAATTCATCAATGTTGGGTATTTATAAATACCTATAACTATAGTTTAGTTATGGAGTGGGAGAGGCTCAAAAATAACATGTGGATATGTTTATAGCATTTGCTCATATTATTGTTTTTCGTCTTGATCATCTGGTTGGAAAATGTTTTTGCACTCAACGCAACTTCTACTCCTCAAGAGTTATCAAATGCTGGAACTCGCTGCCGACTGTGCTAGACGAGCCGACTTCCCAGGAGTCCTTTAAGAGTAAACTTGACCTATTCTCAAGGGCTACGGATAACAACTTATTATAACTTACCAATTTCTTCTGTTTCCTCTATTATCGTTGATATACCTAGGTTCCTGCCTAGAGGTATTGGTGAATAACTGCTACTAGACACGGAAGCCAGCTGAGCAAAAGCTCCTTCTATTCTGTCCACGACCATGTGAAGCATCTGAATAACAGCCGTTTTAGTAAAACCAATTAAGATGTGCACTTTTGTTATATATCCGTGGAATTTATATCAAATGCGTCCAGTGGAGCTTGGCTTTATCAGGTGATTGGCTGTTCAAAGTCAGTAACTCAGCATAGTTAAAAGGAAAAAAAAAATTTTGCTTGAGTCAGTGATCAGATTGTTTTTATTTTGACGTTCTTTGGTAGTTTTGTTTTTGTAATTATGTAAAAGTTAATATTCTAGCTAACATTTTCGCGTGGCTGAATGCGGATTATACTGGGACGAGGATTTGAACGAATCTGTTGAATAAGCGGACAACAGTGGTTGTGCAATGTAATCCCAGGTTTTTGTTACCTAACTTCAACATATTAATCCTACATTACTTGAACCTTACTTTCCATCTTAAAAATTTTTTATGTTGACTAAGACTAGCTAGGCAAAAACGTTAATTAGATGTACAGCAACTCACCTTTGGCTCAGTGATTTATGTACATCATTTGTTAGTCGGTCACATGTTGCACCCAAAGACTATATACTACCGTTTAAGCAATATGATGGTATCTACAGCGCCCCCAAATGCCCTGGTACGGCCGAGAGTGGGGAGTCAGCTCTCCCTCTCGAAGTGTCTCACATGGCCACGCGTATGCCGCCTCTGCCAGGGAAGTCCTACTCACTGCCTTCTCGTGGCGGGGGGTGTTGTTTAGAAATCGAGAGGACGAGAAACGAACGTCCGCTGCTTTAACCGGGTTGGTGGACACGGAGAGTTCACCTAGGGGAGTTGGAAAACCCTGATTTTAAACCACTGGTGCACATGGGCTCCACGATCCTGAAAGAACAAATGGTGTGTGGACCAATTTTTGGCCTCCGGCTACAATGGGACTGCATCTCCTTACGATGCTCCACTGCCTTGTGGATCAGACCTTTGGGTCGAAGGCTCCGGGTGTGGTCCCTTAAGAAAACCACCTGCTTCGGTTTGGGCACCCAGGCAGTATCGTATTCCCCACACAAATCAAACGAGATTGGTGTGGTGCATATGTATCTGGTGCCCCCCTGTACCAATATTTGTGTTCAGATAAATAAGTATCTATAGCCCTTAGGTGTATATTTCGATCCAATGAAAAAAGCTCTGCCTGCATATTTTCATAATTTTATTTGTTACACTTGAAATGATCATTTGGTAAGAAAGAGTTGGGTCATTTTATTTTCTCACTGACACTAAGAATGTTGTCAAGGTGAAGACAGAGTTCTGGGAAATCATTCAGTCACCAGTTTAATGGATACTTATGGGGTCTTAGATGAGGTCGATGTGCGCTTAATTTCCCCTAGATTTCTCCCCATCCATGGGACGGTTTCGCTGGTAGCATTAGATGCTTAGTATGTGAGTTTACAAGTAGTTGCAAAGCTAGATTTATCTCATAGATACATAGAGTTTTCTTGACTATATGTGTGCTTATAGTTGTGCTGAAGGGATTCTATGCACAGTAAATGCAAATGAACAAATTCAGTCACTCGTTATGGTTATAAACGTCCGTTGACTTAAATTACTAAGTCCATTCTAAGACTGGTTAGATTCATTCGTATTCAAAACAGATATGACTCATGTGCTACATGAGAATTTGTAACATTGCTAAATTGCATCGTATTATCATACTGTCATACTGCTCTGTTTTCAGCAATTCTGTCTAAAACGACTCTGAATACCCACATGATTTTCACTCTTGTTTAGAAAATCATTTTTCTCAACTTGGTTTCACTGTCAACTAATAGACAGTACTTTCCTTTTTTTAATCAGAAGGCTTGGGTATTTTGTCTACCTTACATACTTAAATAACGTTTCTTTTAAAACTTCTTTTGCCATTTCAGGTATCTTTGCACGTTTTATTACAAACAAGTCTTCATATTCACTCAAAAGATATTAGATTGAGAACGGTTGGAGGATTTATAAATAAATAACATGCACAACTTTTCATGATCAAGCTCTGGAGATATCATCTGAGTTATAGAACACAAAGCAGGGCACAAACTATTGTGTACCATGCTCAGTGAACCTGCTTCCCCATATGCATTTTGTAAAGATTTGCAGAACTTAATCATTGTAACAGAAGAGCAAATCATTTCACCTTTGCGTAAAGAGTTAAAAAGAAGTGATGAACATTCAGAAATTTTATCACTTGAGATACAAGACGCTGAGGTAATTTGGTGAATATAGTGCGATTTCCGTTATAGAATAAAACTTTTGAATATTTAGCCCAGCAGATTTCAGCTATTTGTAATGCTGACGAAGATACAGCTAATGCCATTCTGCGTGAATATCCAAAATCGGAAGTTTGCTTTCGATGTCTCGGTATTAATGATGACACTATACAGGTAAGTGATGAATGTCTTCAGATTTTCATACGTGTCTCTAGGGCCTTCTTCGTATTCGTGGTATTGGCTTTCTACAATTGTTAGATATGCCTGACAGTGAAGTAAGAACAATCTTACAAAATTATGGTGATTATGGTGAGGAAGTTGATCATGTACTTGCTGGTCTTGCAAAAATACGCGGGAATATTGATCTCATCGAAAGTGACTTAGCATTTGAAGATGATACCAGAAACTTAATCAAATTGGTGATGCGTTTGTCTGACGATGATTCTCAAGTTGGAGAACTAAACAATATCCTTAATGCTCAAATTTACGAAGAAAGAAAGGATCCTCGTATACCTCCCTTATATGTTACTGGCCCTGAAGATTCTCCTTTTGTTAACAAGGAAATTTCTGTACAAAACTCGTCTCATAAAAATACCAAAGTAGTTGTTTGCTCTCATTTAGAGCACGATACATCCTGTGGAAATCTTATTAGCCATTCCAATTCCGATAATATTAATACATTTAAAACTGGTTGCGATGTCAACTACAATGGCTGTAGTTCGTTTACTTCCCCACATGCTTCCAGTTGTATCACCATAAATAGTCCACAGAATGTCACAAATAAATCTCATCCCGGAAAATTGTGCAAAACTGATTTTAAGACATTTAATCTCTTCCCGGGTATATCTGATTCGAATATTCCTTCAGAAATTGATCTACATAATGGCGGGCTTTCAGTACCTTCTACTCCCATTTCTTATAAATTATCTTCGACCATTTTAACACCCTCGAATCTTTTTAGAGCAGGCCGTCATACACTACCAAATGAAGTAACCTCACTTTCTCCCGGTGGGCGTCGAGCAGGCAATCATTCGTCTCGAGATCGCGAGCATCAAACTCGTCAGGCAGGGACTCCGCCACCCAAACATCGTTTAAGATTTTCTTCTCCGCTTCATCGTAGCAAGTCTCATGAGTCTAATCTTGCCAATCGTGTTATTTTACCTGCCCTCCCAAATGTACCACAGTTCCACCAAGAAACAAACTGTGCCTGTTATATCAGTAGACCACAACTATTATTATGTAATCCGATTTCCCCAGACGCCTCCAGTAATGTACACAACGATTATTTAAATTATTCTGAGTGTATAAATGGGGGTCGACCGTGTATAACTACTACTCAATGTGGTGTATGCATTAACAGCGATGTTATTTCAAATGGGAATAAAACAGTTTCAACATTTTATCATACTTGTTCCATTAGTGATAGTACTTCCACACTTGTCACAAGTCCACGTACCTACGATCAAGGTCGACGTGTGTCTTGTGAATATCGACCATCAAAGACTAATTTACAGCCTTTAATGACTATATCTGCAGATAGTGATAATTTATCAGGTAGGTTTATTTTTAAATGACGGATTAGACATATCTACTACTTTGTGTTTTTTTTCTTACAATTAATGTATATATTTCGTAAAAGAAAAGATATATATTGATCATAAATTCTGTTAGGAAACTTTCAAATTTTCGAGCTCAATGAATATTCTATTTATATTACTTCATGAATAGTTGTAAGCCAGCATAATGAATTCATAGTTATACTGGATTTTTCGATAAACTATTAAATATTTTATTCTAAGCACTAAAAAACAGTCATTAGCTTCGTAGTCATCTTCATTATAAATTTGAGTAGTAAACTTCAATGGTCGTTGCTATATAAACTTTTGACTTGTAACCATTCAGTGAAAAAAATTAATGAGTTGGACCTAGTGCTATTCAGTACTCAAAATATATTTATCACTTCACCTATTGGGAAGTATTATATGACTTTTATTGATTTAATTAAGTTTAATTGAATACGCTTGCATAACTCAGTAACGTTGAATTGTTCATTACACTGCTTAGTGAGAAGTAATTTTTTTATCTACCTATGTATAGCTGTCAGTGCTGGACTTTTCTCTAGTTCCTGGTTATTCTATAGATCTGATGACTGACTTCTTGTGGTATTGTGCAACATCGTGATTTCTTGTGTAAATAGCTTTATAGTTGTGAACTTTACATGCGTATCACATTTGTTTACGGATTACTTTCTACACCTTTTCAGCTCACATAAGTAAACTTTTGTATCCTAAATTTAAAAAAGTGTGGAAAACTATTGTCTTTAATGTTAAAACTATAAAGTTAATCTTAGATTCTTTTTTGTGATAGTGAAGTGATAGGCTTAACAGTTAAAACACGACTTTCAACAAGTCACCAGGTTCTCACTGCCTCGTCTAGTTTGCTCTGAGTAGTCTGAGAGTACCACTAATCCTCACTCAAGTTAAGCTTTGATTAAAAGGTTAGTACATAAATTGTGTACTTAAAAAATCGGTTACATTAATTTTTCATCCCCATTTACTTTCAGTTACATTTTGTCAATAACATTTTGTGTGGTTTTAAAATGTGCAGCTAGTCAATCAGTCATAAACAGCATAGAACCTAGCACATATGTGCATCGGTCCGCGTTACCACAACATACAAGCTCAGTTAGATAAAATTTTCAGACCAAAAATAATTGAAAACTGAAAATCTGAGGGAAAACAAAGAGTAACGGTACCTGTACGAATTCGATTGATTCTGAGCCATGTCACCTAAGATTTACAACCATTAGTTATAATCATTGCGCGGACCCTAACCAAGTGGTTTGGACCTACCTACCTGGTTCATTTAAACATTGTAGGAATTCTTGGACTGACTTGGTGTTTTGGTTTGGTAGCCTCGAGATTTCTTCCAACCTGTTTCTACACTAGCCAACGACTTACGTCTAGGTAGGCGGTATTTGGGGATACTAAATGTACTAAATGTCGACTCCCTCAGTTGATGAAGATTTGCTCTCATCAATCGACTTATCTTCTTTATATTGTACTGTCCATCTAACCTGAACATTGCTCACTTGATAATAACAAAATACATAGACGATCCTGCGAATACATCTATGATCAGATATTAGTAACTTACGAATACTCACCATTTTTAGGGGACACGTTTACCGCCATAAAGTAGAACGGGATCAGTGGCTACACAGTTTACTCGTCTTCTGGTTGTGTGACGGATATCTAGTTTATTCCACAAGTGATGTAGGTTGGCAAAAACCAACGACCTTTCTGAATTCAAGCTGAGATTTTGTCAGACACTAAACGGCTAGGGCTGACGAGACTCCCTAGAGGTTAGTAAAGTGTTCGATACACGCAACCACTTCACTCCCCAACGTTAGTTTATGCCTATAATGGTAATCATAGTTTCAGTCAGTAACAACGTAGAACTTCGTACGTACGTACATCAGTTCGAGTTGCCACACCACATTAGCACAGAGATGCACTTGTCGATTCAAATCCCGTAGTGGTAGAGGTAATAAGAGTATAAGCAGTAATCGGGAAGATTAGGGTTTGGAGATGTTATTTAAAGAGTATAATCCAGTGAAATAAATTTTGAAAGAGGAAAAAAGGGACATGAAGAATTCAGAAGATTAGAATTTGGGAGAACACAGAGAGTGGATGCAACTGCGCCATTGCAAACGATTTTGAGCCATGTCATTCAGGGTCTCTGACCACCGGTTGATGTCATCTCGCGGTCCCCAACCAGGTAGTCTACACCTACCAACATGACTCAGTTCACTTGTCAGTGACTTCATGGACTTGTGCCATGTTTTGGTTTGGCCGCCCCTAGCTTTCTTCCAACCTACTCCTATACCATTGAACATCGCACGTCGAGGCAGTCGGTGGTTGAGCATACGTAACACGTGTCCCAGCCATCTCAACTGATGAAGTTTCACTACTTCATCAATTGATTTGCCATCCTTACCTAGTACCCGTTTCCTAACAACTGCGTTACTTACTCGATGTTCCCAGGATATACGAGCAATGTTTCGAAGACAATTATGATCAAATACTAGTAACCTACGGATATCCTCTACTCTTACCGGCCATGTTCCACTCCCATAAAGTAGGACGGAACGAACTGCTGCACAGTAAACACGTCCTTTGGCTGGTAGACGGATATCTCGCCTACGCCATAAATGACGCAAGTTGGCAAAAGCTAGTCGAGCCTTCTGTATCCGTGCTGAGATTTCATCACACACCAGACCACAAGGGCTGATGAGACTTCCAAGATAAGTGAAGCGGTCGACACTCTCAACTACTTCACTCCCTATCATTAGTTTGGGTGTTAATACAACCCAATCCTGAAGCAACATTTTGCATTTCGAGGTGGAGAATCGCATCCCGAACATGCTTGCATTGTTGCTTAGATTGGTCAGAAGACTCTGCATTTTGTCAGCGTCTTCACCAAATAAAACTATGTCATCGTCACGTTCCAAGTCAACAAGTGAATCTCCCGGTAGAAGTTCAACCCCTGTAAATTTAGATGAGGTAGGTGTTATCTCTAAAAGCACATCATCACGTTCGACAGAGTCGAATCCTGCTTTAAGGTCGAGAAAAACTACGACTATGGGGCGTCTGAATGTGTGTCTGTGTTCCAGAACCTGACGTAGTGTGAATATCTGGTCTATACAACCACGTCCAGGTCGAAAACCAGCCTGATTTTCTCTAGTCTGTTCTTCACGAGCTTTGGTTAGGCGTCGAAGTAATTTTGAAGCTAATATTTTGGACACTATATTAGTCAAACTGATTGCTCTGTGATTGTCACAAGAGGACTTTTGTCCTTTCTTATAGACTGCACAGTCAGTGATTGAGACCAGTCAGATGGGATTACGTCCAGTTCCCGAATTCTACCTAAGACTTCAGTTACTCACTGCTAATACTGAACCACCATCCTTATAAATCTCGGGAGTAAACCTGTCAGGACCTGCTGCTCTCCCTCGCTTCATATTTCCTATAGCTTTTTCAACTTCGTAAAGAGTCGGAGGACCTACATGAACTTGCCATTCAGGTTGACTGGAGATCGTGGGAAACCGAAGTGTGGCTGAAGGCCAGTTGAACTGATCCCTAAAGTGTTCTGCCCATCGATCCAATCTCCTGGATTGAGAATGTATAATATGTCCATCTTTTTCTGAGATTGTTTCGCTAACAGTCGGTTTTTTAATACCGGTTTCCTTAACAAGTCTGAACAATTATCTGCTATTACCTATCGCCGCTGTCTTTTCCATCTCTCTTGCTTTCGCTACCCACCACTGTTCACAATCATTGCGTAGGCTTCTAGTCAGCTTGCGTTTAAGCTGACTCCGCTCTTCGTCATGTTCAGAGCCAGATGGAATGAGTTTTCGAGCATTTATCAGTGCGGTAGATGCTGCTGAGATCCAGTGTTTCTCCCTAACCTTGTGGTTTACCGTACTTGCAGACATCACTGCTGTTTCCACAGCTTTTCGGATATCATTCCATGCTGCCTCGGGGTGGGCATCACATACACGGCTACCTAACTGTTTTCCTAGTTGTTCCTGAAATATACTCTGGGCTTGACTATCATTAAGTGGGACCCTAAGATGTTTCCTTGCAGTGTCTTTCCTACGTCCAGTAAGACGCAGACAAATACGCGCTCGTACTAGAGCATGATCTGAATCTAAGCATGTGCTCTAGAATGAGTGACAGTCTTCTACCGAACCCCCCATCGGTGGCTCATGGCGATGTGATTTATTTGGGTCCGACGTTGGGACGAATTGGGAGGTCGCCATGTTAAAAGGTGTTTTGCTTATGCTTAAAGTTAGTATTTGCAAGAAGCAGGCGGTTATTTGAGCGTAGATACAACAGACGGTCTTCATTATCTGTTCTTTGAGCCACGACACTATAAGATCTACCCAGGTGTCTTTCCCTTTCGCTTAGTTTGCCTACTTGAGCAATAAAGTCACTAGCCACTATTACTACATCCGAGCGCCTAACTTTTCGGACAAGGTCGGAAAGCTTTCTGTAAAACTCATCTTTTACATCATCTGAGCTGCAGTCATTGGGAGAATAGGCCGAGACGACGAGTGTCCCTACCTTTCCGAGTCCTTATTGTTCCGTTTAGTGGGACAGCGCACAAACGACTGTCTACTGGGATCCAGTCTAAGAGAGCTAGTTCTGCCCCAGGACTCAATGCTATACCTATGCCGGCGAGTCCACGAGAAGCAGCATCTGGGCTTCCAGATACACGAAATGTGAATCGAGTTGGTTGTTTGTTTTGACATGTTGATGTCAAATGAATGACGCTACTCGGATCCTGTATGCGTGTTTCGGAGACGCAGCACAGATCGATGGCGCGAGGTTCTAAAGTCCTAGCTAAGGAAGCCTGTTGTTTTATTTGGCACCGTGTTCGGACGTTATAAGCTTCAACATGAAGTTTAGAGCGTGGTTTTAGGAGACCAGGAATAACGTTCCGCGTACTCGAATCGTTTGCTCTAGCGGTGCGAGGTGATAAAAGAACATGAGACGGGTTAGTCGTGGAAATAAGGGATTTATCTGGAGGTGTAGGAGGGTTTTGAATGTAACCAACTTGGTCTCGTGTGCTGTTACGGGTATGAGGGCTGATGTCACTTCCCGGCTGCCCACAACGTAGAAATGTATTTCTTGAGGAACCTGAAAAGGAAGTTGGATTAATGTTGGTCTTAACGACCTGGGAGCGTGACCACAGAGCCCCAGGGACAACTGCTTGAGGCCGGTCGTGCACACACTTTTCGTGGGAGGTTTTTAGTGTATTAGCTCCGTTCTTCAAAGGGCCTTACCACTGGAGACGGAAATCCGTGAGGTAAGGTGAGGTGTGACATTTTTAGGGTCAACCTTTTCTAACCCCTTCTTTCCTTGTGAGAAGGCAGGATCGCTGCAGATGCTGGTTGTCCGAGGGAAATACCTTACTGCTGTCATACTCCTCTACAGTCAGCAGTACGAATTCGCCCTCAGACCTTGAGTTGCTGCTTTTAGTCTTACCGTTCTTCAATAGACCTGCCTGGCATTGTAGAACCTACAGGAACATATGTTCCAGCCAATATAGCTCGGTTGGGTCATCATGATAGGCAAGCCTGACCACCGCGTCAAGGTAGCAGCCACGGTCGGGTGTGATATAAATGTAATACAATTACAATAGATACATAGTTCTAACTTAGTATACGGAGTACCTTGAGAGACGTACAAAACACTCTTGATTATGCCCGGAATCACATATAATACAATGCACGTGTAATTTTTGTTACAGATACACTTTATATTAGGAGTTACCAGTGTTTTTCGTAACGTAGCTTCCACACCAGATCATACTCACTGTATGTTTGCACAACGGATATATGTTTATCAGTTTTGAGCGTATGAAGAACCGAATAGATGTAAATTTTACTAACATGTGAATGAGGCATAAGTTAGTTGCCGTTTTTGCAACAATCAAGGAGATATTTTATTTCTGATTAGTTCTAAGCTATGATTTACTTTAGCCAGTAGATTAAATGAGTATCCATAAACATTTCTAGTTTGTCAATTTTGTATTTGAAGTAATTAGACATGCTTTCATTTAAATCTAGGTGTCCTTAATGTTCCGACTAACTCAGGTGGGGCCACATTTGTTCTCAGTGCAAGTGGATTTATGCACAAGTGAGTTAGTGTTTATATTTGTGTTTAACAGATATGTGTATTTTCGTAGTAGTTGTATACAAGTTGGCACTTGCTTAGTGAATTAGCCATTTAATAGTAAAAACATGAGTAGATATATGCGTATTGGATTCTGTCACGGTCTGAAGGAATCTTTTGCTCTCTTCAAAATACAGAACTCCCATAGTTCAAAGTCGAACTTCATAGTATTATTCAAAGAGTTTGTTAAAACTAAAAGCTAATCATAGGGAAATTAACCAGCTGTTAAAACAGTGTTTAAAGTTCACACTGGTAACCGAAATTGAGATTTCCATGTAATTGAGTTTACTAAACGTTTTATGCCATATGTTTGTCAGGTTCATTTAGTGGGCTTTTTTAAAAGTTTAATTGTGAAATTCAGAAGTGGTTGTTTGAGGAACCAACTGTAGATCATTCGATTATTCGTTTATAAACTATCTTCATGTCGTAATTTTACATCACTGAATGACTTTGGTTAGACAACCATAGAAAACCAGGGATCACTGAATAGCTGCCTCATTTTGGTATAAAACTCTTCACTTGTGGGGATTCACGACCACACCTGGGACCGAAACCTGAATCTTCAGGCCTCGCATCTAGCGCTTAACTTGCAGGCCACTGAGTTGGTATCCAACATTTCTAACCACTACTTATTGCCATTATTGATATGATTGTCTCACTCCAAACACAATGTTGAACTTCACTGGTGACAGCTTCTCAGTGAAACTGAATTTCTTCATCTACGTATAGTTTGATATTAATAATATTGTAGTGAACAGGAACACCAGTGGGGACAATCGAATGTATTTAACACAAAATTACAGGACTTGTTAATAAAATCTAACAATCATAAAGTAAATGCTTAATTTGCAAAATGTCCACCAGTTGTCTCAAAATGACTCAGACTTCATTGTTATTGCATTTTCATACAAATTACATCCTGTTTTTATTCTTTACTGCTCGATCCTGCTGCCAGACCTTCTGTTCACGACTAACATCATATACTACTTATGTCAATATAAGTAGCAAACACCATAGTATTGGCTATATATATTTTTATAACATGTAACACTTGTTTAACATGTTATTTCATAATTTTTCCGTTTCACAGATTCGAATTAGAATCTAAATTTGGTGATTTTGTTAAAGGTACTCCATGCGCTGTTTGTAATAATCGAATGCGATTTCGTCTACAACATTGTGCTTACTGCAAGTAAGTGTGCTAATATATTACTTTACTTAAAAAATGATGATATACACGCACTGTTATATTTTACTATAAAAAGTACACTAGTTGCACCTGTTATGTCCTATAACCCGCCAAATATCACTTGGCGAAATCGCCAATCAGAATACCGACTGCTATCATCCTGTCTCTGTGCTAAACCAATGATGCGTTGACCGGCACGAGAAGCCTTGAGTCAACTCTGAGACCTTATTGATCCTCTTTGGAGTAGCCTCTCAACTAGCTCAGCCTATTCAGTTCAGAACACAAATATCAGCTTCCGTTGTGTGAATCGTATATTTCAGACATACGTAGTTTATATGCAAGCAGACCAGACCACATAACAAGATAAAACGAAAAATAATCATTATACAAGATCAAGTCAAAAGTGGCTGTGACTATGGGATACTGTAACTAATAAATTTTCCATGATTATTATTAAATGTTGATTGAGATCATGAGTCGATCAGTATTAGACCGCCATTGAAAACCTGGAATCATTGGACGGTCGTTTCGTCCTAGTTTGGGACTCCTCAGCAGTGTGTATTCATGATCCCAAACTACAAAAACGCGGCTGTCCAGTGCTTCCAAGTTTTCAATGGTGGTCTAACGTTGAATTGATTCGTGATCTCGATCAAAACTCTACAACCCTAAACTGATATTATTCAATTGTTATTATGACCTTTACGTTTTTCAGTTTTTTGTATATCTGTCAAGTGAACAATTATCTCTCATATTTCTAACCTGTAAATTATTTTCACTCCCTTGCTATTCTCTAACCCTTTGATCCTTATTCAACCTCATTTGATATTTGGAGTCTCGAATCTTTTGATGACGCAATCTTTTCTATCCTTCTATAGACTCATATATTTACCATACAACTATAAATACGTAGGTACAGCTTAAGTAAATGATTTCATCGGAAAGTGAAAATTTTCTCCTCTAAATTCGCTTTATTTTTATTATTGAGTGTACAAATAACTTGCTTAAGATTATATTTCATTGTCTTGACTTGTTATTGTAACACTATACACAATTATTTGACTTTTTTCTAAAAAAATCTCTGTACATAGAATCAAAGTACATAAAAGTTGCGTTTCTCATTCAAGACGACTTCCTTGCACAGGACCTTCCAGTGGACAAAACAATGAATTACACGATTTCAAAGGTAATCCATTTTAATATTCTCTTAAATATAAGTATGAGAGGTGATATGTCAAATGTTTGGGAAAATATATGAAATTACCCAGATTTTATTGTATTGTAGACATTCTTACGTCTAGCTAAACAACTGATTCCAAGTTCATTTTAATGGTAAAAATGTCATCTACATGCATACTTTAATCAGCTTTTATCTTAGAATAATTTCAAATCAAATGACTCTCATCAACACCACAATTAATTTTCCACATTCAACAATATTCATACATTTAAATAGTTTGTGTTTTAATACAAAGTCGTTTTAAGTATCCGAAATGCCCTGATACGGCCGAGAGTGGGGAGAGTCAGCTCTCCTTATTCGAATGCTCTCACATGGCCACGCGTATACAGCCAGTAAAGTCTTACCCACTGCCTTCTCGCGGCTGCAGCGTCGTTTACGAAATTAAGAGGACGAAAATCTAGTGTCCGGCATCTTAACTGGGTTGGTGGACACGGAGGGTCCACCTAGTGGAGTTGGAAAATTCTGATTCCAAAGCAATGGTACATATGGGACCCACAATCCTGAGTGAACGAATGGCGTATGAGCCAGGTATTGTTCACTGGCTACCATGGGACTGAATCTCCTTGTGGATCAAAGGCCCCGGGTGTAGCGTACTAAGAAAATCACCTGCTTCATTTTGGGCAATCGGGTAGTATCACAGATCATACACAATTCAAGTGACTTGTGTGGTGCATATGTATTTGGTGCCACTTTGTATCAATATTTATGTGTTCAATTAAATAAATATAAAATAAATTCGATAATTTTTAGTATATAATGATTTCCCTGAAGTTCGTCCTCAACTATTTTAATTTCAATTAATTACTGGGATTTTTATAAATATAATCCCTTTTTATTACTCTTAACAATAATTCGATGCAAGAATAGAATTTATTCAGTAAATATCGTCATTTTCATTTTATTTGAAGAAGGGTATGCCTGAGAATTTTATTGACATTTTAAAGGCCCTATATGCAAACATCTCAGGTAGAGTGAGGGCATACAACCACCTTTCTCCATTGTTCCATTCGAGCAGTCAGGTCAGACAGTGTTGCCCAACCTCACTAACAGCCCTGATGGATGTAAGTAATGGTGGTGTGGATCTGTTGCCTGGAGAAAGACTTCTCGACTTTGAGTATGCGGATATTGTCTTACTGTGCGATAATGCTCAAGCCATGCAACCCTCACTTAATCAGTTGGCAATCAATGTCCATAGGTACGGTATGTGCTTTGCACCTTCGAAGTGCAAAGTACTTCTACAAGACTGGCAGGATTCTAATCCTATACTCAGCCCGGACGGTGAGCAGATAGAAGTAGTCGAGAAGTTTGTGTATCTAGGTATCTGCATAATTGCTGGTGGGGGTGTGAGTGATGAGATCAGTGAACGTATAGTGAAAGCCAGAACGGCTTATGCCAATGTGGGCCATCTTTGGTGCCTTCGTGATGTCAGTCTGGCTGTAAGAGGTCGGATCTACAACGTGTCGATAAGAGCAGTTCTGCTTTATGCTTGTGAAACTTGGCCTCTCCGAGTTGAGGATGTCAGACGACACTCTGTGTTCGATCATCGTTGTCTCCGAAGGATTGATGACATCCAGTGGCAACACCATGCCGGTAATGCAGAGGTTTGGCATCGTGTGTTTGGGCACAGAGGCGATAATTCAATTGGTGTCACCATCTTGAAACACCGACTTCGGTGACTTGGACATGTTCTACGAATGTCGTCCTAGAGAATTCCACGTCGTGCATTATTTGCCGACTCTTGAACTGGTTGGAAGAAGCGGAGAGGTGGTCAGTGCATGACATGGTGTCGTCGTATGAGAGAAAGTTGCAAAGGGCTGGCCTGTGTTGGTCCTTCACAACTCCATGGTTGGGGTCTGAGATAGTTGGTGCGACACAGTGGCTAGAGACGTTATCAGATATGGCTCAGAATAGAAGCCAGTGGCGATCGTGCTGTAACCTTCTTTTACTTTATTCGTAAAAAGTGGTTGTATCTTTCTTAACTGAAAGATTTATTCTGGTGGTTGTACCTTTCCGTTTCCCCCGTCACTATTATTATTATGATTATCATCACACTAATCTGGTGGTTATTGTTTTTTTCTCACTTACTCTCCTTATCTTCCTTTTTTTCTCTTCCCATTCTCATTGTTATGTGTGCCGCATATATATTTGGTGCCCTCTTGTACCAATATTTATGTGTTCAAATAAATAAATAATAACAATAAGTCACTTATAAGTTATGACTTATTGAATTATTTACTAAATTTAACTTGATTATCGTGTCATGTGTAAAATACATATCGGTAGTATTAGTAGTAGTTAGTAGTAGTGAAATTTGTAAATAAATTTTTCACATGTATATCACGTTTGATTTTTTTTTGTATTTAATAAATAATTAATTATAATTAACAAATGATTTTCAAGTGATGATTCTAAACATTTTTAGTCAATTTTTTCTTTTGTTTTACTAAAGATACATAAACACTGATTATTAAATGAACAAAGTGGTAACTTATATCGGTTAGAACGTTCATTTTCAATTCATTAGTAATAGGTTTAGTAATTTGGATTCAATTTCATCTATTTTAATTTTATTAGTCAGGTAGTTGTATTGTAGTGCATAGTACCTATGTTGACAGATATAAGTAGTATGTGGCAGCAATCGAAAGTGAAGTGCATGTCAGACGAACAAGAACTAAAATACAGAGAAATTGTAATAACAACATAATTGAAAGAATCATAAAGTTTGTAAAGGATAAGTGAAGGGAGATGTGTAAATAATGTATTTAATAAATAGTTGTCATATTTTACGAAGGTACTGTTGAATTTTGCACACGAGAATAAATTGTGTTCAGCCATCCAATTTATGCTCACGTTGGTTGTTATCGCTGACAAAATAGGACAACGAGTATAGTAATGCACACTTAGTTGTGTAGTTGGAAGTATGGTGTCTAATTGGTGATTACCTCTGCAATAGGGAAACATCTAATAGAGTGTTATGGCGGAGCGGTGTTAGGTGTAGCGATTGCTGTTGTTGAAGAGATGAAATGAGAACTATGGTTGCTGTACGAACAGGAAATGTAGATGTTGCGGTTGGCCGACATCACTCTGGAGTTCAGCGCGCTGGTCGACTGGACATGTCGATGTGAGGCGTGGGACAGATTGTACCAGAGAAGTGAACGGTACGGTCAGCAGAATGAACGCGAAAGTGACTCCCGTTTAAACGGATGACGAGTGTAGTTTATGCTGAATTGAATTGAATTTAAGAGAACAGAAACTAAAATAGGGATCAGTTGTAGTAACAACAGAATTGAAAGAATCATAATGTTTGTAAAGGATAACAGAAGGAAGATGTGCAATTAATGTATTTAATGAATAATTTTCATATTTTACGGAGGTACTGTTTAATTTTACATTCAATAATAAATTTGTTTCCCATAACTGAGTTCTCATTCACTTCAGTACCATAAATCTCCATAAAGAAATTGACGTACACCTAAAACTTAAGTACATAAACATATGTACATTTGGTAAATAATCTTTTTTTAACGATTCACTCCAAAAAAAATTGACATCTAAACCAAATCTTCTACATGACAGATGAAGATATTCATCAGTTTAGTATTGAAGATCATATTTTATTGTCTTCATATTTATTTTTAACTATTCGACTACTTTAAGACAGTAGTATACCAATGTTGATATTATCACTCATTATTTCAATAGACATTGTTATTGTTAACACTATAGAAATTTGAACCCCCTCCCTTATATATATACAAAAACAATTTGTCGTAACCTTGAATTTACCTTGGTAATCCTTAAGTCATTCTATGACCTAGGATAACGCGACAATTTGTTACATATGTAGAATTGTTTCGCTCCTTTTTATCAGGATGGGTTCTGTGGAGAAAACCTGGAAGCACTGAACGGCCGTCTCGTCCTAGTATGGGGCTCCTCAGCAGTGCGCATCCACGACCTCACCCCCCGCGAGATTCGAACTCAGTACCTATCAGTCTCGCGCCAGGCGCTTAACCAACTAGACCACTGAGCCGGCATCCAACGGTTTTAATTTTTAACTTCAACCAATCCACGAAGTTGCGCCATCGTACACCATTGTCTTCAGTGAGTTGATATTTCACAACAGACCTGGTTGAACTCCACTGGTAACGGCTTCTCACTAAAACTCCAGGGGTATCTCCTGAAGTAAGTCACTAATGAGCAGGCAATTATTATCAGATTGGGTTTTGTGGGGATTTTTTAGAAATTTCACTGGTTAAGGAGTCTCATACTAGGACAAAACGGCCATCCAGAGCCTCCAGATTTTCCATGGTGGTCTAGCTTCAATTGACTCATGATTTCAACCAGTGAAATCTCCGCTTTGTTATTTTTGTTGATTTTTTTTATAATTTTTTTGCTTGAACTTTCATTTAAAATAGACCTTTATTAATTCTTATATAAAATACCCTGACATGTATATATGTGTGATCAGATTGTTCGAAATGTATTTAGCACAAATACATCCCCATATTCATCAGATCAACTCCATCTTCTCATTGTTCTATCGAAATTTAGAAAAAAAGGGCTAATTGCTTTAAAAAATAGCATTTGTTTATGCACCCTTATATACAATAGTAAACAGTCTATCTGTTGACTTTTGAAGTGAATATTTTTATACTGAATATATATTGATCTATGTGTATATATTGATGATTGTACTGTTTATCTATGCGTATATTTTCCATTTTTATTTTAAAAAAGTAGTTGATACATTTTGATATATATCAGAAAGGGGTTTTGTGATTGAAGCTGAGGAGTCTCACAATAGGACGAAACGACTATCCAGTGCTTCCAGGTTTTCTATGGTGGTCTAGCTTCAATTGACTTATGATCTCAACTATTAAATAAAATTACATTTTGATATATTAACAAGATATATGATTGTTGTGTAATTTTATTGTCTTGATCATTACTTTTAAAGGTTCTCCAAATATGCCTCGTCAATTGCATACAAATATTTTAACAACTAGTCAAACAAATCTTCGTCCTGCACATTCTACTCCAGCATTTCAAGTTAGTTAATAATAATAATAGTAATAATATTTTATTCTTTCTGGCTTATTTGTACAATATTAACATAATTATGGAAGAAAGTAAACAAGTAATATGTATGGAACCTTAATTATATCATTTGTTGGATTCTGTCATTTTATTCTATTTTATTTGAAAACATGAATATTGGTACGAAGGGACACCGAATACATATGTGTCACACAAGTTACTTGATTTGTGTATGAGCTGCTCATACTGCCGGGGTGCCCAAACCGAAATAGGTGGTTTTCTTAGACAGCTACATCTGGATTCTGGATAACAGATCTTGGGTTTTGGCGCGAAATTGATTCACCCGTTCCTTGAGCTGGATGATTTAATTGCAAAAATCTCAAGTAGAGTTGCTAATTTCATTGAGCGTAAGAGTACCGGACTATTCAATGAGACTATCCAACATCATCACTATATTCTTTTTTGAGTGGATAGTTTCTATTAGTGAGTTCTTCATAACGCAAGAGTTTCAACAAAAACCTCTCATCATTAATACTACTTCATTTAATTGTGATTAGTTATTAGTAGTATTTCTTTTCTATAGTGGAATTGTGTATGATGTGATTAGTTTCACTTGAATACCATTAAAATAAAATAATCAGATTCGAATCCTGGAGCGAACAACTCAACTCTGTGATTCAGGTACATCTAACTGTTCAGCTCCAAATAAGACGAAACATGCATCTTGGCTTCTACTTCAAGCCACCATCTATCATCTTTGCTTATAACTTTATTTATTTATTTATTTTAACACATAGATATTGGTACAAGGAGGCACCAAATACATATGCGCCACACAAATCTCATTTGATATTTGTGAGGGCTGTGATACTGCCCGATTGCCCAAACCGAAGCAGGTGGTTTTCTTAGGAGGCCACTCCCCGAGCCTTCGACCTTAAGGTCTGATCCACAAGGCAGTGGAGCATCGTAAGGAGATGCAGTCCCATGGAAGCCGGTGACCAACAATTAGTTCATACGCCATTTGTTCCCTCAGGATACTGGAGCCCATGTGCACCATTGATTTGGGATCCGGCTGAAGCGACGGACATTCGCTTTTCGTCCTCTCATTTTCGTAAACAACACCCGTGGTGCGAGAAGGCAGTGAGTAGAACTTCCCTAGCAGAGGCTATATGCGCGTGGCCATGTGAGAGTATTTCGAGAGGGAGAGCGGACTCTCTTCACTCTCGGCCGTACCAGGGCATTTGGGGGCTTATAAAGTATATAAATGTTTTTTTTTAAATTTCAATAATATGGTTGTCTTTGATCGTTGAATGATACAAACAACTTTAAATATCAGTGATCATTTTAGATTCCAAGTGTTTTCATTGTGTGGTATCTAACATCTTTTCATTATAACCTGTAATAGGGAAATTAGTTTAATTATGTGTAATTAACTGAACTATAATGATGATGTCATAAACGAATTATTGAGAAAGTATGTTAAGCTAGCTCTCTTTTTTTCGTTGTTGTTGTTGTTTTTGTTGCTTAAGAGCATATTGGCTGAATTGACTTATTCATTGTTTTACATAATGCAAAGTTAAGTTCCAAAGTACTGTTTTTTTTAAAAGAAAACTGAAGAAGAAGTCAAATGTTGAATTTAAGACAGTCACAATAAGGTAGATATTAGATGATAGATATTGGATACATTAGATTTTGCTTATGTACCTAGAAATGTCCAAAAGATTACAGTCTAGATTTGTCACTGTAGCAATAATGAGTTCTATTAGTTTACATCATGGACTGAAATCCGATCAATATAATTAATCTATAAATTACAATCACGCCGTTAGGTTCCGACCTCGTTATTTGCATCTACTGACTTGGATCAAATGAACAGTTATTGATTTCAATGATCATCACTAAACGCGGACTGTTTACAGAAACGGGATTGGAAATAATTAACTGTATGCATGTATATTCAATCATCATGTATTTTGACACACACTGTTGGTTTGTTCAGGAGTAGGTTTATCAAACCTAAATGAGACATCAATCTATTAAGTTATTGATTACTAGAGAGCCCTTTAGGTTATTGCAAACTACCGGGTTAGTGTCCGTGTGATTATCGTAACTAGTGTATCAGAATTGGTCGCTGTAAAACAGATATGTTTACTCTTTGTTTTCTCTTAAATCTTGTATTTTTTATTCCACGAATGCATTCTTTGTTCTCGAATCATATTGTTTATGTCTAATGTTTTCTACTACCATTGATACTATTACTACTTTTAATATTCTGATATTTATCTTGATAATTCCACATCACTGTGTTGATATAACGCGGCAAATCGAACTTATGTATATATATGCCTTCACACTAACATTGGTACAGGGAGGCACCAAATATATATATGCGCCGCACAAATCATTCGATTTGTGTGAGGGCTGGAATACTACTCAGGTGCCCAAACCGAAGCAGTTGGTTTTATTAGTGGGCCACTTCTCAAGCCTCTGACCTAGAGGTCTGATCCACAAGGCAGTGGAGCGAAATCAGAAGATACAGTCCCATAGTAGCCAGTGGCCGACAAAAGGTTTATACGCCATTCGTTCCTTCAGGATCCTGGTGCCCATGTGCACCATTGGTTTGGAATAGTGATTTTCCAACTTGTAGTTGGATCCTCCATAAGCGTCGGACATTCACTTTTCGTCCTCTCAATTTTGTAAACAACACCCCTGTCGCGAGAAGGTAGTGAGTAGGTTTTCCCTGGTAGTAGTTGTATTTCGAAGCGAAGTGCACAAATTAGTCACATTGTAACTGAGTTAATAACAATAGAGTAAGTTACGTTTACTTATATTATTCAAATAAAAATTGCCATTTTATTATTTTTTTTTAATCTCTTTCTCTGTATCTATGTTCTGTGCAGAGTTCTGATTCAAACAGTGCTTCGTCATGTACAAGTTCTACACCAGGTTCACCATTTGTCACCGGTACATCATTAATTAGTACAACATTAGCTGCATCATGTTGTACTCGCTTAGACAGTGGTTATGTTGGTGTTGGTAGTAATAGTATTAGTGTTAGTTGTAGTACTACCGGTCAAATGATTTCATTATCTTCTCCTCCATTACGAAATTTAAGCAACAGTGGTGGTTGTATGTTTAATCATTCTAATCCAAGTCATTTATCTTCACCAGTTAGTATACATTCTTACGGAACTGTTAATGCTGGAATTGTAACTAATACACAACAACAACAACAACAACAGCCTCATTCTCCTCGACATTCCGGCCAATGTTTTAATCATTTTGAATTTCCAAGTAAGTATTTTCGTATAAATTCATATTTAGTATATACATTTTATCGTTATCTTTTTTTGTGTAGTCATTATCATGTCTTGTCAATTATACGCATATCTCCTGCTGTAAAATTCAATTGTAGATCAATTGACGATATTACTCGATTTGATGATAGATATGTAAATATTACTTATTTACACCTGTTACCCGTCGTGGAAAAATAGCCCACCAACCAACATTCGTCAACCAACTCTGTTCTGGGCTCTGCTTATGTATATATAATTCCTTCTTCTACTCAATATGCATTTTTATGTAGATGAACACTTCATTTACGGCTACCACTTCATTAAATCTCGTTGGAAAATCACCAGTCACATACCGTATTTTGTTCTGAGACAAATTTAATACAATGATACTTGGTCTACCAGTGTTTTTTTAAATAATCAGTTCCATGTCTAGTCTTAGATAAATAAGTAGTATCGTGTTCAATTTTCCCCTTATGTTTAATAAAATCGGCTATCTAAACCAACAGGTCGAAGACGTACTTAAAATATGTGGTAGCAAATAGTAAGGAGAGGTGACCGTCAACCCTCCCTGGGAGTGTTTATGCTTATGTATATGTCATGAAGTGCAAGAGTGAAAGTCTTTTTACGAGTGGTACACATGTAATGTGTAAAAGACATCCACTTGTAACAAATTCGTTCGAAGGGAGTGGAAACCATCTGCCCTTCACGGGGGGGGGGTGAATATATATATGTGTACATATGTGTACTCTATGGGATACATAAGTGAAAACCTATATTTTACCGATGTACATGTGACGTATACTTGCCCCTAGTACGAGTCGCGCGCTAAGACCAGGGGCTGCTGGTTTCCCCACAAAATCACATCCTCGGGGTGAGCCTTGAAACACGGAAACTTTTCAGAAAAGCCAGTGGACTTCACCAGATAAAGCTTTACGAACCTTGAACGACTGAGCACCACATACCATGTTCAATCTTCAGGTAAGAAAGTATTTCTCGCTCTTTTAAGTAGTTTGATAAGTGTCAGGCAACCAAAAACAACATGTTACCTGGAATGAATTTGTGTCGACTAAGTCGCTACACACAATTTCAGCATAGGGAAAAGGGAAGTTAAAAAGATATTTAGCGAACTGATTTGGAATAATCATTGTACTAATGAATAGTGCAAAATAATATCGTTCGATGATGAATTTATGGAATAAAAAAGTACAAAACATTTAAGTCCAAAGTTCTAGATGCAGATATTTAATAAGTAGTATACCATCCGTTTACCAATGTTCAGTGTGTGACGTGTCGCATTTTCGGGGATCTTTCTGTTCACTTATTAAGTGTGGGCTACGCATAAATATATGGTTCTCATTAACGCTTTCGTTATGAACTCTAGCTTTCGCTGGTTTTCGGAGTTTTTCATCTATCAGTCTGGATTGCACTACACTGCTGCGTTCATAGTTGACGGATTCGAATAAATTAAGATTCTTAAGGTGAAATCTTTAGTAAAAGTTACGCTTACATACAGTACATAACTACTAAATTGACGGAAAGGTGGGCGAAAATACTGGACACCACATACTTACTGAACGTCGAACAATAGGTGGATGACCCCACACCATGTATCCGAGGCAATCTAACCAATTTTTAGGATCGTAATGAGTTGTCTGACCTAGAAGTCTGATCCACAAGACAGTGGAGCAACGCCAGAAGATTATTTTGTTAAAATGAGATGAAATATACATTAACCAAATTTTCGAATAAATGACTATCGATAGTAAATAATAGTTTGCTCTAAGATAGAAAATGACATCGTCCATAAAATCGTTGGAAAACGTTATAAGCTACATAAAAAACTCCTTTTATGTACATTTAAGTTTCATTACTGCAAATATTTTAAGCGACAGATTTGAGTCTATTATGTACTTTTTGGTTTATAAGATGCATAAAAGTTTCTAGGTCATTAGTAGCGCTTTCCAATCGTGTCTCCAATGTCGTAGATCAGCTTTTTTAACCTTAGGAATATTCAGTGTAAGTATGCTGCAGGGCTCGACCTTAGCTCCTACCTTGAGGTGATGTCAGGCCGTCTGTTGTGATGACTCCAACGAGCTAAATTGGCCGAAACCTGTGTTATTTTAGGTCCTATCAGTCAGTCAGTAACAACGTAGAACTTCGTACGTACGTACATCAGTTCGAGTTGCCACACCACATTAACACAGAGATGCATTGGTCGATTCAAATCCCGTAGTGGTAGAGGTAATAAGAGTATAAGCAGTAATCGGGAAGATTAGGGTTTGGAGATGTTATTTAAAGAGTATAATCCAGTGAAATAAATTTTGAAAGAGGAAAAAAGGGACATGAAGAATTCAGAAGATTAGAATTTGGGAGAACACAGAGAGTGGATGCTCTTGCGCCATTGCAGACGATTTTGAGCCATGTTATTCAGGGTCTCTGACCACCGGTTGATGTCATCTCGCGGTCCCCAACCAGGTAGTCTACACCTACCAACATGACTCAGTTCACTTGTCAGTGACTTCATGGACTTGTGCCATGTTTTGGTTTGGCCGCCCCTAGCTTTCTTCCAACCTACTCCTATACCATTGAACATCGCACGTCGAGGCAGTCGGTGGTTGAGCATACGTAACACGTGTCCCAGCCATCTCAACTGATGAAGTTTCACTACTTCATCAATTGATTTGCCATCCTTACCTAGTACCCGTTTCCTAACAACTGCGTTACTTACTCGATGTTCCCAGGATATACGAGCAATGTTTCGAAGACAATTATGATCGAATACTAGTAACCTACGGATATCCTCTACTCTTACCGGCCATGTTCCACTCCCATAAAGTAGGACGGAACGAACTGCTGCACAGTAAACACGTCCTTTGGCTGGTAGACGGATATCTCGCCTACGCCATAAATGACGCAAGTTGGCAAAAGCTAGTCGAGCCTTCTGTATCCGTGCTGAGATTTCATCACACACCAGACCACAAGGGCTGATGAGACTTCCAAGATAAGTGAAGCGGTCGACACTCTCAACTACTTCACTCCCTATCATTAGTTTGGGTGTTAATACAACCCAATCCTGAAGCAACATTTTGCATTTCGAGGTGGAGAATCGCATCCCGAACATGCTTGCATTGTTGCTTAGATTGGTCAGAAGACTCTGCATTTTGTCAGCGTCTTCACCAAATAAAACTATCATAGTTTATCGTACAAAATGTTTTTATTTCGTAAGGTGAATATCTTTGTAGGTTTGCATTCGTATTTTGTTCTTATTGTTTGATTAAATACACCTTTTTTTAACACTGCGACTTTGCTTTGTAGGCATTTTGTGAGTGAAGTTCTTTTCGAAATAAGTAGCTGAAGCTTGATCTTAAGTAGATTGGATTGCGTTTTTCATTAAGGTGACTTTCACACAAGGTTTTGTCTCCTAGTATTTAGAGCTTTCAAAAGAGTTAACTAAAATATACTGTGGTATGACCTAGAATCACTTTTCAAGCAGTCAGAAGTGATTTTAGTTATAATCCAAATTGTGATATAAATGTCAGTCAGTCAGTAACAACGTAGAACTTCGTACGTACGTACATCAGTTCGAGTTGCCACACCACATTAACACAGAGATGCAGTGGTCGATTCAAATCCAGTAGTGCTAGATGTAGTAAAATCATAAGCTGTAATCAGAAAAATTAGGGTTTGAAGATGTTATTCGAGGAGTATAATCCAGTGAAATAAATTTGGAAAAAAAAGGGACATGAAGAATTCAGAAGATTAGAATTTGGGAGAACACAGAGAGTGGATGCTCTTGCGCCATTGCAGACGATTTTGGGCCATGTTATTCAGGGTCTCTGACCACCGGTTGATGTCATCTCGCGGTCCCCAACCAGGTAGTCTACACCTACCAACATGACTCAGTTCACTTGTCAGTGACTTCATGGACTTGTGCCATGTTTTGGTTTGGCCGCCCCTAGCTTTCTTCCAACCTACTCCTATACCATTGAACATCGCACGTCGAGGCAGTCGGTGGTTGAGCATACGTAACACGTGTCCCAGCCATCTCAACTGATGAAGTTTCACTACTTCATCAATTGATTTGCCATCCTTACCTAGTACCCGTTTCCTAACAACTGCGTTACTTACTCGATGTTCCCAGGATATACGAGCAATGTTTCGAAGACAATTATGATCGAATACTAGTAACCTACGGATATCCTCTACTCTTACCGGCCATGTTCCACTCCCATAAAGTAGGACGGAACGAACTGCTGCACAGTAAACACGTCCTTTGGCTGGTAGACGGATATCTCGCCTACGCCATAAATGACGCAAGTTGGCAAAAGCTAGTCGAGCCTTCTGTATCCGTGCTGAGATTTCATCACACACCAGACCACAAGGGCTGATGAGACTTCCAAGATAAGTGAAGCGGTCGACACTCTCAACTACTTCACTCCCTATCATTAGTTTGGGTGTTAATACAACCCAATCCTGAAGCAACATTTTGCATTTCGAGGTGGAGAATCGCATCCCGAACATGCTTGCATTGTTGCTTAGATTGGTCAGAAGACTCTGCATTTTGTCAGCGTCTTCACCAAATAAAACTATGTCATCAGCATATTCGAAGTCAACAAGTGAATCTCCCGGTAGAAGTTCAACCCCTGTAAATTTAGATGAGGTAGGTGTTATCTCTAAAAGTACGTCGACCACAAAGTTGAACAAGAATGGGGAGAGTGGACAACCCTGACGAACACCACTTGAGGTAATCAATTCTGATGACAGTTCGCCATAAGCTCTCACTCGACCAGTTGTGTTCGAGTAGAGAGCCTTTATAAGGTTAATGTACTTCTTTGGTACTCCTTTCAGTGACAAACACTGCCATAGAACCTCACGATCAACAGAGTCGAATGCCGCCTTAAGGTCGAGGACTACTACCATTGTGGGGCGTCTGAATGTGTGTCTATGTTCTAGGACCTGACGTAGTGTGAATATCTGATCTATACAACCACGTCCAGGTCGAAAACCGGCCTGGTTTTCTCTAGTCTGCTCTTCACGAGCTTTAGTAAGGCGTCGAAGTATTATTGAAGCTAATATTTTAGACACTATATTAGTCAAACTGATTCCTCTGTGATTGTCACAAGAGGACTTTTGTCCTTTCTTATAGACTGGCACAATCAGTGATTGAGACCAGTCAGATGGGATTACGTCCAGTTCCCAAATTCTACCTAAGACCTCGGTTAATCTCATTGCTAATACTGGACCACCATCCTTAAAAATCTCAGGAGTAAACCTTTCAGGGCCTGCTGCTCTCCCTCGTTTCAGATTTCCTATGGCAAGCAAATACGCGCTCGCACTAGAGCATGATCTGAATCTAGGCATTTGCTCCAGAATGAGCGACAGTCTTCTATCGAGCCCTTCCATCGGTGGCTGATAGCGATGTGATCTATTTGGGTCCAACGTTGGGACGAATTAGGGGGTCTCCATGTTAAAAGATGTTTTTCCTTATGTTTAAAGTTAGTATTTGCAAGGAACAGGCGGTTATCTGAGCATAGCTGCAACAGACGGTCTTCATTATCTGTTCTCTGAGCCACGACACCATAAGATCCACCTAGGTGTCTTTCCCTATCGCTTAGTTTACCTACTTGAGCATTAAAGTCACCGGCCACTATTACTACATCCGAGCGCTTAGCTTTTCGGAGTAGGTCCGAAAGCTTTCTGTAGAACTCATCTTTTACATCATCTGAGCTGCAGTCAGTGGGAGAATAGGCAGAGACGACGAGTGTCCCTACCTTTCCGAGTCCTTATTGTTCCGTTTAGTGGGACAGCGCACAAACGACTGTCTACTGGGATCCAGTCTAAGAGAGCTAGTTCTGCCCCAGGACTCAATGCTATACCTATGCCGGCGAGTCCACGAGAAGCAGCATCTGGGCTTCCAGATACACGAAGTGTGAATCGAGTTGGTTGTTTGTTTTGACATGTTGATGTCAAATGAAGAAGGTATAGGAAGGATTTGAATGTGACCACCTTGGTCTCTTGTGCTGTTACGGGTATGAGGGCTGATGTCACTTCCCGGCTGCCCACACCGTGGAAGGGTTTTTCTTGAGGAACCTGAAAAGGAAATTGGATTAGTGTTGGTCTTAACGACCTGGGAGCGTGACCGCAGAGCCCAAGGGACAACTGCTTGAGGCCGGTCGCGCATGGCCTTTTTGTGGAAGGTTTTTAATGTGTTAGCTCTGTTCTTCAAAGGGCCTTACCGCCGGAGACGGAAATCCGTGAGGTAAGGTGAGGTGTGACATTTTTAGGGTCGTCCTTTTCTAACCCCTTCTTTCCTTGTGAGAAGGCAGGATCGCTGCAGATGCTGGTTGTTCGAGGGAAACACCTTACTGCTGTCACACCCCTCTACAGTCAGCAGTACGACTTCGCCCTCAGACCTTGAGTTGCTGCTTTTAGTCTTACCGTTCTTCAATAGACCTGCCTGGCATGGTAGAACCTACAGGAACATATGTTCCAGCCAATATAGCTCGGTTGGGTCATCATGATAGGCAAGCCCGACCACCGCGTCAAGGTAGCAGCTTCGATCGGGTTAGGTCCTATCATGCTAGACAGGTCGGTTGGAGAATGGTAAATCTGAAAGCAGCACTTTGAAGCCCGAGGTCGAAGTTTTACTGTGGGCTGTAGATAGGTGTGCCAGCATTAAAGTATCTCTCTCGACCAACCAATGTCCGCAGCGATGCTGTCTTCTCATCAGAGAGTTAAGGAAGGTGGACCCTTAAAGCCACACCTCACCCTACTCCGGCATTAAGGCTTTTTAAAATTCGGAACCAACGCATAAAAATTCCCATAATCAGGTTTTTAGACCAGTATCAAGCAGTTGTCTCTTGGTCTCTGAGGTCACACTCCCAGGTCAATGCCACTACTAGTCCAGTTTCTTTTTCAAGTTCACAAAGAAGAAATATTTTTTTCACTGTATGGTCAACCGGGAAGTGACAACCGCTCTCAGAAATGCAACAGCACCCGAGATCACCATGCTACATGGCTGAGGATTCCAAGCTGGGGCTTGGGTTTTGATAGAGCTTTATGATTTCCCAAATGTATATCCCATCTACCTCCAGCGTGCTTTTGCTAATTTCCTTTTCAGCTAATAGTTGGTTTGTTCTCTGGGACAGTGATTAATTAGCTTCTATAGTTTATCAGCTTTAAATATTCTATGGGAAATTGTAAACTACCGAAATCTTGTCCACTGATAATTCATCTTCATTGTTAGATTTTCTAGTGTAGTTGTCGCCGTGGTGTATGCTACTTATGTCGATAGACACAAAGTAGTATGTGACACTAATCTGAAGTGGAATGCCTGGCAGCAGATTATCGAAAAGATCGAATTGAAGAGAACACGGATGTAAGCAGCAGTTAATTAGAACTGTTCTTTCGTATAGTACTTATTTTTCACTGGTTGAAATCTTGAGTCAATTGAAGCTAGACCATCATCGAAAACCTGGAAGCACTGGACAGGCGTTTTGTCCTAGTATGGGACTCCTCAGTAGTGCGCATCCACGATCCCTCCCCCCGCGAGATTCGAACCCAGGACCTATCGGTCTCGCGCGCGAGCGCTTAACCATTAGACCACTGAGCCGGCATCCAACAGTGTTAATGTCTAACTTCAACCAATCCACGAAGTTGCGCCATCGTACATTTGGATACATTCAAATGTTTCAGGATTGGTGTTTACTTGTATTATTTCTAATCATAACGTGTTTACAATAATGTCATGAATAATATTTGTATTGTATTTCTATTATATTAAAGGTGTCAGTCATCCAATCATAGATAATCAATTAGTAGACGGGAATTTCAATAATAATGTGAATAGTAATAGTCCTTTAATTAGGTAAGTGTTGGGTTACCGCTTCACATTACCAATAGATCGGTTTTATCACATACTTATAATTATTAGTTTATATGTCAATCTTCACTCAATAGAACTTAATGTACCTGAGGAATGCTAAAGAGTCCTGTACTAGGATGAAACATCTATCCAATACTTTCTAGTTGCCAATGGTACTTCTTTAGTGGATGCTACTTGCAAGATTGTTTGTAAGTATTGCGTAGCGAAATGTAACGTCTGAGTTGCTACATTTGTCACACTAAGTGAAGAGTTTTAGTCTATCGAAAGTATGGCGTTGGCAGAACACTTGGAGATCAGGCGACATGATATTTCAAATCTCAGAACACACCTAGAGATGTGAATCGAAGATTGAAATCTATGTATAATATTATTATATAAATACTTTATAACTTCTTATAATAAATACATTCCTCCTGTCTATTGTCGTGTTCTACGTTTCAACTAAAGTCAATCTGTGATGAACACATTCAGCCCCGCCCTCCCCCCCATCCACATCAAAATACCTATGATCTGTTCATATAAGGAATTATATACTGTAAATGTTTATAGTTCAAATCAATCGAATTGATGGATGTAATAACCTTAATGTGTTACTTAAATCTATTATTATTATCAAACTGTCAATCGTCATATAGCTTATCATGAATAACGTGTTATCATCAATGATGTATTTCAATTAATTACTTTCTAAGTGTTTCATTTCAATTAGTTATTCACATGATCTGTGAATTAGATTAGATCACATCATTACAAAAGTGAAATTAAATTTGTCCGATCAAACGTATTAAGATTATAATGTACATTGATGATACAAATGATACTGATCAGTTATTGTTATGTCATTGATAAATATGATTCTTTCTGAATGGTCGTAGTGATGGTGATAGCTCAATCATGTCTTATTGATTAAATCGTGTAAGGTTTGAACCTGACTGTTTTTTGCATGGTTTAATTAGGAGAATTTTTTGTCGGCTAATACTTGAACTTAGCAATAATTTGTATTTTTAGTAACCAATTCCTATTAGATTTGAGGGACTATTTTACTTTAAATAGTGTTTATTTATTTTCTGACTTTTGAAAATTCTTATAAAACTTCTTTTACCATCTTTTTGTAGTACTGTGTCTTCTGGAGAAAGTGAACGAACTGTTGTTGATGTAAGTTTTGTTATCATAGGCTACAATTTATCGACCTGTTTTCTGTTTATTACCACTTCATACTTTTATTTATGGTATGTAGAAGAAAAAAAGTAAGCCTAATAATGATACTTACAACTGACGGATATTTATGGAGTATCGGATTGACAACAACAACAACCAGAGCAAAAATTTTTATAGGTACATGGAACGTTCGAACAATGTGGGAGACCGGGATGACAAGTCAAATAGCAATGGAAATGAGGAGATACAACTTAGCAGTACTGGGAATCAGCGAAACCCACTGGACCCAAACTGGACAGAAAAGGCTAGCTACGGGAGAGATGCTGCTATACTCCGGTCACGAAGAGGACAATGCTCCACACACTCAGGGAGTCGCTCTTATGCTGTCCAAAGTAGCACGAAATGCACTTGTAGGATGGGAATCTCATGGATCCAGAATCATCAAAGCATCATTCAAAACAAAGAAGGAGGGGATCACAATGAATATTATCCAATGTTATGCACCCACCAATGATAGCAACGACGAAATTAAAGATCAGTTCTACGAGCGGCTGCAGTCAATCATTGAGAAATGCCCAAGAAAGGACCTAACTATTCTGATGGGAGATCTAAATGCCAAAGTCGGAATAGACAACACTGGATATGAAGATATTATGGGACGACATGGACTGGGAGAAAGAAACGAAAATGGAGAAAGATTTGCAAATCTATGTGCATTCAACAAATTGGTCATAGGAGGCACAATATTTCCACACAAGCGTATACACAAGGCTACATGGATCTCACCGGACCACACTACAGAGAACCAAATAGATCATATTTGCATCAACAAAAAATTCCGAAGGACAATGGAAGATGTGAGAACCAGGAGAGGTGCTGACGTAGCTTCAGACCACCACCTAGTTGTAGCCAATTTGAAACTGAAGCTAAAAAAGAACTGGACAAGTGGACAAACAGCAATATAAAGGTTCAATACAGCCTTCCTTCGAGATACTGTCAAACTCAATGAATTCAAGATAGCTCTCAACAACAGGTTCCAAGCCTTACAAGATCTACTGAAAGAAGAAGAAACTACTATGGAGGACAACTGGAAAGGCATCAAGGAAGCATTAACTTCAACGTGTCAAGAGGTTCTGGGTCTAAAGAAATACCATCATAAGGAATGGATCTCTACAGAAACATTGGACAAGATCAAAGAAAGGAAGAACAAGAAGGCAGCAATAAACAACAGCCGAACACGAGCAGAGAAAGTCCAAGCACAAGCTGAATACATAGAAGCAAACAAACAAGTGAAGAGGAGCATTAGAGCCGACAAGAAGAAATACGTGGAAGAACTAGCAACGACGGCAGAAAAAGCTGCTAGAGAAGGAAATATGAAACAGCTTTACGATACAACGAAGAAACTATCAGGGAAATACAGTAAACCAGAGAGGCCGGTCAAAGACAAAGAAGGCAAGCCAATTGCCGAAATTCAACAACAGCGTAACAGATGGGTAGAATACTTCGAAGAGCTCCTGAATAGGCCGGCTCCAATGAATCCACCGAACATCGAAGCAGCACACATAGATCTTCCTATAGATGTCAATCCACCAACTACGGAAGAAATTAGAATGGCCTTCAGACAAATCAAGACCGGGAAAGCAGCGGGACCCGACAACATACCAGCTGAAGCACTGAAATCAGACATCGAAGCAACCACAAGCATGCTTTATCTTCTATTCAAAAAGATTTGGGAGGAGGAACAAGTGCCGATGGACTGGAAAGAAGGACACCTCGTCAAGATTCCAAAGAAAGGAGATCTGAGCAAATGTGAAAACTACAGAGGCATAACACTACTGTCAACACAAGGGAAAGTCTTCAACAGATTGTTGCTGAACCGGATGAAGGATGCAGTAGACGCCCAACTTCGAGATCAACAAGCTGGATTCCGTAAGGATCGGTCGTGCACAGATCAAATTGCAACACTACGGACCATCGTCGAACAATCAGTTGAGTGGAACTCATCACTATACATCAACTTCATTGATTATGAAAAGGCATTCGACAGTGTAGACAGGAGGACGTTATGGAAACTTCTTCGACACTACGGAATTCCTGAGAAGATTGTCAATATTATCCGAAACTCATACGACGGACTACAGTGCAAAGTAGTGCATGGAGGACAGCTGACAGATGCGTTCCAAGTAAGGACCGGAGTCAGACAAGGCTGTTTACTCTCTCCCTTCCTCTTTCTTCTGGTGGTCGACTGGATTATGAAGACCTCAACATCTGAAGGAAAACACGGAATACAATGGACAGCTCAGAACCAATTAGACGATTTGGACTTCGCAGATGACCTAGCCCTCCTATCACGTACACACGAACAGATGCAGATAAAGACAGCCAGTGTAGCAGCAGTCTCTGCATCAGTAGGCCTCAGCATACACAAAGGGAAAACTAAGGTCGTCAAATTCAAAGCGGAGAACAGCAATCCAATCACACTTGATGGCGAAACTCTGGAAGATGTAGAATCCTTCACATACCTGGGAAGCATCATCGATGAACAAGGAGGATCCGATGCAGACGTAAAGGCGAGGATCGGCAAAGCAAGGGCCGCTTTCCTACAATTGAAGAACATATGGAACTCAAAACAACTTTCAACCAATATCAAAGTAAGAATCTTCAATACGAACGTCAAGGCAGTTCTACTGTATGGAGCTGAAACTTGGAGAACCACAGCAACCACAATCAAGAAAGTACAAGTATTCATAAATAACTGTCTACGTAAGATACTCAACATCCATTGGCCGGATACCATCAGCAATAGCCTTCTGTGGGAGAGAACAAACCAACTTCCAGCTGAAGAAGAAATTAGGAAAAGACGATGGAAATGGATAGGACATACATTACGCAAATCCTCGAACTGCATCACGAGGCAAGCCCTAACTTGGAATGCTGAAGGGAAGCGAAAAAGAGAAAGGCCAAAGAACACATTGCGTCGGATAATAGAAGCAGATATGAAAAGGATGAATTACAACTGGACGGAGCTAGAAAGGATTGCCCAGGACAGGGTTGGATGGAGAATGCTGGTGAGCAGCCTATGCTCCTTCACGAGGAGTAACAGGCGTAAGTAAGTAAGTAAGTAAGTAAGTATCGGATTGACAACAGATTATGGACGTTAATGGTGGTTTGTTGAAGAATTCATTAATGCTACGTCAAATAGATTTACCTCTCTGAATTATCGTGAAGTTCTGTATTACTTTTATTGTGATAAACATGATAGGTTCATCTAAAGAGTGTGAATTCCGTTACTTAGCTTATCACTGAACATCGGTGATACTACTCGGCTGTCCAAAATAGAGTAAATGGAGCGGAGTTCGGACGTGCGACTTAGTGACTAAAAGTCAACTATTGAACCAGTATTTGATCTGTCCAGGTTTGAATGGTGGTTTATGATCTCAGTGAAATTTCTTATCATCATTCTCCGCAGATCAGTATTCATTCATCAATTATTCGTTTCACCTAGTTCTCCAAGTTTATTTATATCAGCTTTTTCTTTAATCCATGTATTTTCTAACTTTGCAACGTGAAATCCATAGTCAATTACTTACTTACGCCTGTTAATCCTAATGGAGCATAGGCCGCCGACCATCATTCTCCAACCCATTCTGTCCTGGGCCTTCTTTTCTAGTTCCATCCAATTCTTGTTCATTTTTCTTATGTCTATTTCCATTTCTCGGCGTAATGTGATTTTTGGTCTTCCTCTTTTCCTTTGGCCTTGAGGATTCCATGTGAGGGCTTGTCTTGTGACGCAGTTGGGTTCATTCCTCAATGTGTGTCCTATCCACTTCGAGCGTTTCTTCCTGATTTCTTCCTCCGCTGGGGTCTGGTTTGTTCTCTCCTACGTGAATCAACGGTTAATTTCTAAATGAATGTCAAGAATTAGGTTTGGAGATTAAATAATTGACTAATTGATTATGAAAGCCGAGTTCCATAGTCAATTAGTCAATTATTTAATCTCCAAACCTAATTCTTGACATTCATTTAGAAATTAACCGTTGATTCACGTTTAATTTACTACTCATTTAATAGTTATTTCGAATTATGAATTTTTTTCTTTCGTTTCTATGTATAGTAATATGTGTGCCAATTATTTTGGAATATCCGCCTACTATCTCTCTCTCTCTCACACACACACACACTCTATCACTTATAAACATATACACATGTATACATCTTAGTAATTTTATCTGTTTACTTAATGTTTTGATCTTTCATGTTTACTCAGAATGCAGTACACCGGTTTGAATCAATGGATAGTCAAGATGAATCATCTTTAATGAGAACTAATAGTGTAAGCTTAATTATGTTTTGGTAAATGTGAATGATGAAAAAGTGTCTATTATTATTATCATTTAATAAAAGAATGATAGTTCAGTGAAGAATATTTGCTTTTCTATGATGAGATTTGGTAATGCTATACAATCGTGTTTGTACTTGTACATCATACTGTATGATTGGTTGGTTGGAAAATTCAACTGATCTAATGATTAAGCGCTCATTACGAGATATGAAGGTCTTGGTTTAAATGCTCCTGTAAGGTCGGGAATCCACGCTACTGAGAGAGATTTCATACTCGGATGAAACAATGTCCGATGTTTCCTAGTTTTTAATGGTTGTCTAATTTAGGCTGGTTCATGGTCTCAATAATATAGAAGAGGTATATATGAAAGATAATTATCCGTTTTTGACGAATCTAAGAAAGAGAAGTGATGAACGTGTTTTAAAAATAATTAACAAAACTAACAGGGAGTGTTGAAACGATGTCAAATAAAAGATTAGACATACCATCCCTGTATATGGAGACTACACTTGACTCGATGAAATATCAAAGCCTACTATAAGCACAAATTTTACATCCCGCTTCTCTTGGAAATTGGCCCGTTTGACTTTGTAAATAATTTTAAATGAAGATTCTTTTAGAGGCAATTAGGTGCAATTGTTCCGTTATAGACTTGATTTCTATTATTATTTTAACACATATCAAATACATACGCATCAAATACACATGCGCCACACAGATCTCATTTGATATGTGTGAGGGCTGTGATACTGCCTGGGTGCCCAAACTGAAGCAGGTGGTTTTCTTAGGAGGCCACACTCGGAGCCTTCGACCTTAAGGTCTGATCCACAAGGCAGTGGAGCATCGTAAGAAGATGTAGTCCCATGGAAGTCGGTGACCAACAATTGGTTCATGCGCCATTTGTTCCCTCAGGATACTGAAGCTCCGAACATTCGCTTTTCATCCTCTCAATTTCGCAAACAACACATTGGACGCGAGAATGCAATGAGTAGGACTTCCCTTGCAGAGGCTACATACGCGTGTTCATGTGAGGGCATTTCGAGAGGGAGAGCGGACTCTCCGTCATAGAACTGTTAATTGATTGGGACTTAGCTTTAGATAACTGTACTAGGTAATGTTTCATTATGCGCTTGGATAGTGGACGTTTCGTGCAGCCAGTATATCATGTTCCATATTGAGGTGGCTTGAAATAGAGTTTATCATTAATACATCTTTAGATCAGGTATGTACTGGAAAATACAATATGTGGCTTAGCTGTATAAAATATCCTTTAAATTAGCTAAATAATCGGTGTTCAAGACTTCTGCAGCTGTTTCTCCTTTCAACTTCGTGTTCTGGCTTCATGTTTTTGTAAGTGAACTTGAGAGTAAAGATTATGTCGGTCAGCGGCTGACATCATCTATTATGTCCTTGATTTGTCTACCCAATAATATGCATGGGAGAACTTATTTTGATCTAGGTTAAGGCCTTTAGATGATAGGTTAACTGGTTTAACCGTGAGGCTAGAAATAAGTGAGTTCGAGTCGAGACTAACCACCTTGGGCAGAGAGATGAAAACTATTCTATCATTTGGTTGGTTAACAAGCGAGAGAAAAGACACGTTAACTGTAACACTTCTTGATTTATTCCCAACTCAAATTAGTGTAAAAGGATACATGAATAAATAGTTGACTACCCACGATCACAACGTACAAACAATTAGAAAATACGATTATGTCCAAAGTGGGCATTAGGATAGGAAAATGGAGTACCAAAGGTTACGCTTAAATTACAATAACTTTGGAACAAAAAAGGGCTATGACATCAAATGAAAGCTTATAATTTGTAGAATAAACTGGGCACAAAACTAAATGCTAGTGTTTTACAAACCTTGAACTAAGGAATTATTTCATTATAGTTTAAAATTACTAAGTCAATTGTTACCAAGGATCTAACTCAGGTTTCATAGTGTATGCATCATCTTTAAAATTCCAGTTTCGAAATTCGATCATTTGATGTTTATAGAACATCGTTTATCTCCAGTACGATGGACGATGATATATTGTGTTTGTTCAGTTAGCGTTCATTAGAGTCTTCCTATAATGTTCATTACTCTCATTGAACAATTACTGACATTTTCCTTCTTTTAATATTCCATAAGCTTCTGAAATATCAAGGTCATAAGTAAACCTATAAATATTCTTGTTTTCTATGGTTGTAATAGCCTTGAACGTATAACGTTTTTTCCATATTTCCTGCCTTATGTCTTATGGTTAAAAGTGAAATGTAAAATACATCTATTGGACTAAAGAATGGTTAAAAATTCAAAGGTTCATGTACCAGACATATTAATCTCACTGATCGACAATATAGATTCCGAAATTTATCAACTTTATTTCAGTTTCATATCAAGATTGGTTTTACTAGTTACAATGGAAGATGGTCGCGCAATTTCGTGGATTGTTTGAGGTAAGACATCAACATCATTGGTTGCTGACCGGTCCAGTGGTCTAAAGGTTAAGCGTTCGCGTGCGAGACCGAAGGCCCTGTGTTCGAATCCCGCGAGCGGGATCGTAGATGCGCACTACTGAGGAGTCCCACTATAGGACAAAACGACTGTCCAGTGCTTCCACTTTTCCAATACTGGTATAACATCAATCGGTTCATGATCTCAATCAAAAACTTAATAATCTCCATAACCCTATGCTGATAATTAAATTAAATATGTTCATTTAAGTTTCGTGTACCCGCTGATGATCATTGTTTTACCCTATTTATTATAATAGATATCAGTTACTCTAAAAGAATGGGATATACCAATGGAAAATTTATTTATTGGTGAAATAATTGGACGTGGTACATTTGGTACAGTATATCGTGGTAAATGGCACGGTGAAGTAGCTATTAAACGTATAGATTTCGATCCAGAAGATGTAGATGATTCAATACGTGTTGAAGCGTTCAAACGTGAAGTTGCATTACTACATAAAACACGTCATGAAAACTTAGTACTATTTATGGGTGCTTGTATGAAAGCACCTGATTTAGCTATTGTTACACAACTTAGTCGAGTAAGTGTTTTATTTCTGTGTATGTCCCTGTATTTGCATCTTATTTTCTGTTTTACTTTTAAGGAATTTTTATAATGTTAAGCAGTTGGAAGTAGTTAGTAGAAAATCATGAACCTAGTGTAGTGGATGCTACTTACAAGATTGTTTGTAAGTATTGTGTAACGGAACGTTGATACAATTGTCAGACAAAGTGAAGAGTTTCAGTCCATCGAATGTACGGCGTTGGCAGAACACTTAGAGACCAAGCGAGAAGACATTTCAAATTTCATAACACACCTAGAGATGTGAATCAAAGATTGAAAGCTATGCATAGTGTATTATATAAATACTTTATAACTTCTTATAATAAATACATTCCTCTTGCCTATTAGTCGTTTGTTACACTAGGCTGCTCTCAAGAGGCCACTCATTAGCGAGGTGTGCCTGGTATTTAATGGGAACTGATACTTCTTGTGTTATCCGAATGTACATCACTCAGTTTCATACTCAGGAATGTTACCACTGATCTGATATTTTGTAGTGCTGAAGTACATTAGTTGATCACTGTCTGAGTGATGCCGATTCAAATCCTTCAAGAAACACTAGTTCCTAAAAATTGCAGGTGCAGTTTGTTGACGAGTAGGAACTAGCAACTATATCGAACAAGGTTTACTACCTAACGTGAAAACATAATACACGTGATGTTGAGTCACTTGCACTTGTAGTCATATTGTAACTAAGTCGATAGAATCTTAAAAACTGTAAATTTGACAAAAATGATATTGGCCTCCACTGAATTAAGATCAGTATCCTATTGATAAAAATTCAGCTAGAAATCAATATGTAACTTATTTTGAAAGACGGATTTCTCTGTTCCTCTCTTTCTTTCTGTCTGTTCTGAAAAAACCCTGATTGATTGGGCTGGTAAATGTTGTAGCGATAAAACTGCAGTTGGTATTGGTTATGACAGGATTATATTCATGTCCACAGGAGAATTCAAGTTGCCAGCTTTACAGAAATGTAAAAAGTGGTAATGTTTCCGCTGAAGTTGTTTAGTATTTGCTATCCTATTTTGGGGAAGGTCGCAGGAAAACATGACCCTGTAATCTGCATATTGAACTACGCCTCCAAATCTCTTTTAAAGCAGAAGGGTGCATACGATTTTGTTACACACTCATAGAACTCCATATTTACAAGCAAACAGAACCGGGTTTTTTATGGTGGACATAACATGTTTTTCCAGTTATGTGAAGGAACTGTCAGTTTCACCAAGAACTAAACAAGTAAATTTAAATTAAACACTTACCATTCTAGTACAACCCATTGTTATTCGATCTGCTCATTTTTTGGCATCTCCCTTGAAACTAAAAACATAAAAATGAGTTCTAATTGTTTCGAACCATCGCCAAAACTCTAACCATTGATACTATCTTAAAGAGTTTATTTATTTATTTAAACATGAACATTGGTACAACGAGGCACCAAACAGATATGCGCCACATAAATCATTAGGCATTTGTGAGGACTGAGATACTGCTCGGGTGCCCAAACCGAAGCAGGTGGTTTTCTTAGGTGGCCACACCGAGAGCCTTCGACCTAAAGGTGTGATCCACAAGGCAGTGAAGCAACGTCAGGAGATGTGATTCCATGGTAACCGGTGACCAACAATTGGTTCATACTCCATTTGTTCCCTAAGGATCCCGGAACCCATGTACACCATTGGTTTAGAATTGTGGTTTTTCAACTACTCTAGGTGGACCCTCCATATCCACCATCCCAGTTAAAACTCCGGACATCCACTTTCTATCCTCTCAATTTCGTAAACAACACATTGGACGCGAGAAGGCAGTGAGTAGGACTTCCCTAACAGTGGTGGTATACACCTGACTGCTTGAGAGCATTTCGAGAGAAAGAGCTGACTCTCCCCACTCTCGGCCGCACCAGGGCATTTGGGAACTCTTAAGAAGTACTGGAATAGGGATATTTGCAAGTGTAATACATCTTAAAATTAATAGCATCTTGTGTATTTTTTTCCATATAAGCGAAATATTGTTACTCTTGTTTTCTTTGAGTTAATGGATCAATGTTTTAATGGTTTAGTCAGTTACGTGAATTTCAACTTATAAATCGCATGTTCGAAATTCTCTTCACACTTATTTCAATTCTAGGTCGTTAGGTTATATTGTAGTGCCTGTTATTATGTTAAGCCCATATACCTTATTCTAGCTTTCGGACAGCCCATTCTATTCATACTAGTTGGAGTCAGATCCCGGGTCACTGAAGTGGAGAGCCCTTCGACGACGGCAAAATAAAGGGCCTCAAAAAAGTGGTGAGCCCGCCGACGACGACGAACTCAACGCAGCAAGCTACATCGATGAAGAAACTTTTACATTGTATACTTTCAACGAACGAATTCAGCGAAGCCAGCACAATTTCTAATCCGACGCACTCAGCAAAGCCTGTGCAGCACGTCATGGACGTGCACGAATCGTATTATCTTGTCGATACTTTGTCCTTATGTCAACTATCCTCATTGATCCATTCGTCGGATCGTTCCATTATGAATCAAATGATCACCTCGGGCTCACCACTTTTTGTAAGGCACTGTATTTTGTCATCATTTTTAAATCGGACGATGTTCGTCGAAGGGCTCTCCACTTTAGTAGCGCAGGATCTGACTCCAAGTAGAATGAATAGAATGGGCTGTTCGAAAGCTAGACTAAGGTATATAGGCTTAACATAATAACAGACATTACAATATCACTAACCTTATTAATGTGCCTTGTAACGGCTGCATACATAAATAGACCTTCTCACGTGCTTACTGGATTATATAATTTTCCTGTGAATATATTTACTGTATTCGTCTTTTTTCATTTTATCTAGGTACGTTTTTATATTTTCGTTTCAACTCATAGTAATAATGATCCTGTTTTTCTTCTTCTTCTTGTTCTTCAATAATCAGGGTGAAACATTGTATCATTTAATTCATGATCGTGATAATATTATGCCAATTAATCGTACAATAAGTATAGCTAGTCAAATAGCTAAAGGTATGGGCTATTTACATGCTAAAGGCATTGTACATCGAGATTTAAAAACACGAAATTTATTTTTAGAAGATAATTCACGTGTTGTCATTGGTGATTTTGGTGTATTCAATTTTGTACGTCTTTGTAAAAAAGCTAAGTAAGTTCACATAATTATCTATTAATGTATTTTGATTATTTTTATTTGAACACATAACTATTGGTACAAAGGGGCACTACACAAGTCACTTGATTTGTGTATGCGCTTTAATACTGCTTTGGTGCCCAGACTGAAGAAGGTGGTTTTCTGAAACAGCCACTCTCCGAGCCTTCTACCGAAACGTTTGATCTACAAGGCAGTGGAGCAACGTTAGGAGATGCAATTCCATGGTAGCCGGTGACCAATAATTGGTTCATACACCATTTGTTTCCCTAAGGATACTGGGACTCATGTACTCCATTGGCTTGGAATTGTGGTTTTCCAACTCCCTTGGGGGAAACTCCGTGTCCACCAACCCTGTTAAAGTGTCAGAAATTCGCTTTTCGTCCTCTCAATTTTCTAAAGAACACCTCCGTCAAGAGAAGGCAGTGAGTAGGACTTCCCTGACAATTGGTGTACACGCGTGTCCATATGAGAGGATTTTTCGAGGGATCTGACTCTACCCACTTTTTGGGGGCATCTATTAATGATTTATCTTTATACTTCATAATAATCCTAGTTAAAATTATTTATATATCTTAATTACATTTCAATTAATGGCATCACTTCATTCAACTATTGAATGTCGATCAGAGCCATACATACACATTACCGGGTTAAAATCTTCCTGGTCAAATAGGTTGAGTGAAATAACCTAAAATCCACCACAATACATTCCTTTGGAACTTCAGGTTCAATGTTTCTTCACATATACCTTTTCATCACATCGTCTTGAATTGTATTTTCAGTGTTTAATATTTCTCGTCGTCAGTGTTCAATCATGAAACTTAGAACTTGACACATCTGTGTATCGGTTCAATTTATCGTATCAAATTAACACAGTGAGATAAAATTGTTTTAAGATAAACTCCAGAGTACTAACAGTATCAGCGTTAGTAGAAAAGATTAGATATAGAAAAAATGAGGAATAGCCTAAAGAGATTTCAGGACAAAGTATAATGCTTCTTTTCAGTTATTATTGTTTAAGTTCATGAATTAGTTTATTTTTCCACTATCCCTCAATACATTTTCATTGTGATATTGTTATGATCTTGATGTCTGGTTTTTCTATCACGCGACTTATCGACCAATCAAAATACGGCTTATACAATCTTCGCACTATGCCAAACCAATGACGTTCAATCGGTATGAGCAGTTTAGCGTCCTTATTGGTTCTATGTCCCCCTAGCCCTTTCACTTGAGTCCAGAACACAATACCAGCTTCCGTAATATGAATCGAATATGAATCGAATCGTAATCGAATCTGATCGAATCGTTTATTTCAGACATACTCGGTTTATATATCAACCAAACACACCGCAACGCACCATAAAATAGAAATAACATGTGTACACAAATAAGCCAAAAAGTGGCTGTGAACGAGGGGGACAGTAAATAATAGACTGAGCATAGCTTAAGAATCGTAAATCGTACAATAATAAATTATAGATCAAAATAAAGCTTATAATAAGAGGAATATAAATATACATAGTGTAATTGTTGAGTAGTTATACAATAAGAATATTTATAGAATATTAGTCCATGAATAGTCCTTGGAAGTTACCTGTAATTTAATCTTCACTGGATTATAACAGATATTATAATAAAAAGAAAAGAAAAGTCATTTATTTGTGTATTTTTTCTTCACTGGATGGGGGGGGGGGAATTTCTAGATGGGGCAATTATTTGAATGTTCCACCATTTTGGTTATGCTATATTGCACCGGAAATTATTCATGCACTTAACATAGGATATGTACTGGCTACTACAACTAATGAACTACCATTAACTACATCTTCTGATGTTTTTGCTTTTGGGTAAGTAAAATGATATTGTTGTGGAATGATGACGTAATAGTGTCTTTTCTTGTTCTTATCAATATCATGAAATAAAGGGTTTGGGGAGTTTATTAATTCATATTATAAACTGGATCTAGTTAGAAGGAAGCGTCGGGTAGTTATTTTGTCCTAGTATAGGAAGATCTAACTAAAGGGGCGAACTCATAACCTTTCGGCTAACCATGTCGACTGTGAGTCAGTAATTTACAAATTGTACTAGATAATGGTCGCGCAATATGTCAAATCGATTGAGGTTAGAACTATTAATCATTGAATGCCAACCAGTAGTTCAAGTGTTTGGAGCTCGTCGCTAGAATTAAGAGTCCCTAGTACGGTAGTGGTTGCACATTTCTAAGGTGTCCTACACTAAGACGAAACATCTGTTCAGTGGTTCCTGGTTTTCGATAGATGTCATGGATATATATATTCACACTCATTGCAAAAGCCAGTGGATTCAGTAGCTAAATAGAAAACGCATATCCAAAAATAATCTGACCGATCGTAGTGCTTAACATCAACAGTAAGATTTGGAAATAGCTTGCAAACGAATAGAAATAATTGTTTTTTAATGTCATACCATTGACGTTAGAAGAGATCAAGAATAACCGTGGAAATCCTAATCCCGCTTATTAATCAGTGATTGTACATATACTACTGATAGCAGAAATTTATTTCTAAAAAAAGTAGTGAAACTGGAGTTTATTTGATAGCTTTATCAGATTTGTGAGCGTTAGTGATGGTATGGATGCACGACCACGAATCTTAGTTACAGTACTTGAGACTAGTCTGGCAGTTATCTCTGAGTAGTTTTTAATGTCGAAGCATTGTGTTATTCAAACCTCCTTGGCATGGCATTTTTCGAATTAATGAGTGTTACAGCCAATATAAATAGTTGATGTTATGACGATGTTTAAACATTATCACCCCATCAAGATAGCATTTGTAGATGTGTCTCAATCTCGAATGACTCGATAATTTGACTAACCCTTACTTCCTTTTTTACCATCGATAATTTTAACTAATATTTCTAAAAATTCATGTTTGATTGGATGTTTTTCTTCAATAATATCTTAGTACTGTATGGTATGAACTGTTAACTAATGAATACCCTTTCAAAGGACTACCTGCTGAAGCTGTCACCTACTTAGTTGGACATGGTGTAAAACCGAATTTACGAATTCAATGTCCTAAAGATTTTAAGGTAAGTACTAGTTCTCTGTGGGCTTTTATTTTCAAGTTTCTCCGTTAACCAATCGTTATTTATTTATTTCAACACATAGATATTGGCACAAGGAGGCAACAAATGGATATGCGCCACACAAATCTCATTTGATATATGTGGTGGCTGTGATACTATCCGGGTGTCCAAACAGAAGCAGGTGGTTTTCTTAGGGGAGCACACCCGGAGCCTTTGACCTTAAGCTCTGAACCACAAGGTAGTGGAGCGAGGTCAGCAGATGCAATCCCATGGTAGACGGTGACCAACAATTGGTTCATATGCCATTTGGTTCCTTAAGATCCTGGAGCTCATGTGCACTATTGGTTTTGAATTATGGTTTTCCAACTCCCCTAGGTGGACCCTCTATACCAACCCGGTAAAAGCTCCGGACATTCGCTTTTCATTCTCGCAATTTCATTGAGCAACACCTTGGACGCAAGAAGGCAGTGAGTAGAACTTCCGTGGCAGTGGTTGCATGCATGTGGCTATGTGAGAGCATTTCAAGAGGGTGGGCTGACTGTACCCACTCTCGGCCGTACCAGGGCATTTGAGGGCACTAAATACGTTGGCTGATTTCGATTAATTCATCATATTACGAGGTACTTAACCTTTTACATCAGTTTTGATGTGAGCGAAAATAAGGTTGTTATTTGTAGTGTTTAATGCATATTTTTAATTTTTTACATAGTTGGTTAACAGTGAGTGATAATAAATGTTAAACCTGGTACATACTTACTAAACTATATCAGAACAAAGAAATGAAATCTATCAAGACAAATGCCAATGTAGTAGACAGTAATAACATTATCGATGTTAGCAGTAAACATTTGATATGGACACCAAGATGTAAATAGGCAGAATGAATTTATCTAGTAAAAAAAAATTGTAAGAGTGAATATATATCTGAGCTTTTTGCTATTGATTCTAAGCCAGATCATCGATCTGCAGCGAACACACCTTAGTCTGGTAGCTAATGGCTTCATAGAAGAATAATAGTTCTTGGCTGACTCTAACTTTCAACCTACTCCTACATCAGTAAACAATTACGCATCCAGTTAGGTTGTTGATTGGCATAAGTAATTCATGTTCTAAGCACGTCAGTCTAATATATACAGCCTCATCATTCAATTTTCGATGTTTGCCCAGTATTCTGAGTATAACTTCAGTATTGCCTTACTCAGTGGTCTTCACATATGGCAACAGTTCGGTCAACAAATAGCTACAATTATATACATCAACAAGGACCTCATTCCTACAATTGGAGAACATATGGAACTGAAAACAACTGTCAACCAATATCAAAGTTAGAGTCTCTAATACGGACATCAAGGCAACTCTGCTGTACGGAGCAGAAACGTCGAGAACTACCACAACCATCATCAATAATGTACAAGTATTTATAAGCAATTATCTACGTAAGATACTGAATGTCCGTTAGCTGGATACCATCATCAACAGTCTACTGCGGGATAGAATAAACCAGCTTCAAGATGAGGAGGAAATGATGATGACACTGGGAGTGGATAGGACGTACATTGAGAAAATAATCAAACTGTATCACGAGTCAAGCGCTCACATGGAATCCTGAAGAGGGACGGGAAAAAGGAAGGCCGAGGAGCACACTGCGTCGAGAATTTGTAGCAGACATGAAAAGAATGGATAGAAACTGTAAACAGTTGGAAGGGATTGCCCAGTGCACAGTTTTGTGTAGAATGTCGGTAGGTGGCCTACTCTACACTGCGAGGGGTAACAGGAGTAAGTTGTATATATATATCAGCCACGATAATGTTAAAAATAATACTTTGTTTGTACTATCATTTTCTTTTACCGATTTAGGAAATTCTTGTTCAATGTTGGGCATACAGTCCATGTAAACGACCCGAATTTACAACTCTAGTTAAATTATTAGATCGTCTACCAAAATTACATCGTAGTCCATCTTATCCAGCTAAACCATACACTGGTGTAGCATCTGGTTCACATGGTAGTCTTCTAGCTTAATAATGATGATGAATAAACCAGACCTGGGGATCGAATCGTTGACATACAACACAATACAACATTGTCTATCATCTGGGATTTCTATTTATGTTATGATGGAAAATCAAAATATCTTCAGCTTTATAATAATAATAATGGGGAAGCTTACAGTTTTTTCTTTGAGTTCATCATGGTTACTGCATTGTAGTACTAGTTGGATGTAATTCTTCGGAGTACCTTGCTATGTAAGTGACCTAAACAATCAAGTACTTTCTTGTCCACCGGAATGTTTATCTTAAAAGAAGCATATATATGGTACCTATGTTATTCTAAGCGCTATTTACTTGTGATCATATTTGCCTCGCACTCACACGCCTCGACAACGCATTCTTCATTGTTTACTGTTTGTTTTTCGATCAAACATGAAGCATTTGTTTTTTTATGCCTGTTCATGAATAAAACTAATGTTTTTATCACAACAAATTTCATATCCAATATGAGAATTCTTATGTTTGAGCGTACACTTATATCAACTGTCTCACTCTATAGTGTTTGACAACCATTCACATAATGTATATTCTTCCTTTCCTGTGGTTCCAATTATTTGTTTAATTTATTTAACTAGTCTTTCATTTCATGAATACACAATAGAATAAACCATATGTTGTGGAGAACAGAACAAAATGTGTATGTGTGCAGGTAGATAAATTTCAATTGCCTAATCTAATCCATTATTATTATTTGTTAATAATTCACTATTCAATGGGTTATCAATGATTTACACAGACTTTGTTTTCCTCTATTTGTTCATATTGTAAATGTATTTGTACCTTATTTACTAATTTTTTTTCTTTTTTTGTACATGATTGTAAATGATAAATTACAATTTATTATTTATATATTAACTAATAATTATAATCTTTCTAGTTAAGTTTGTACAAATATTTCTCTTGTTTTACTGAAATGTAAAAAGAATAAGAAACAAATTCAACTGTGGTGTATTGATGCCTTTTTCTTCTCCCTCTCTCTCTCTCTTATTCACTGCTCTACGTTAATGTTCATGTTAGAGAGAACGTGAATAGTGTAACAAATGCGTTGATACGGCCAAGAGTGGGGAGAGTCAGCTCTCCCTCGAAAAATGCTCATATGGCCACGTGTATACAACCACCGACAGGGAAGTCCTACTCACTGCATTCTCGTGGCGGGGGTGTTGTTTACGAAAATGAGAGAACGAAATGCGAATGTCTTTCGCTTTAACCAGGTCGATGAAAACAGAGGGTCCACCTGGGGGGGGGTTCGACAAACTAATTCCAATGCAATGGTGCACATGGGCTATGGAATTCTAAGGAACCAAATGGCATATGAACCAATTGTTGGTCACCGGCTACCATGGGGTTACATCTCCTGACGTTGCTCCACTACCTTGTGGATCAGACCTTCGTGTGTTGACCCATAAGTAAGCCATCTGCTTAGGTTTGGGCACCCAGGCAATATCCCAACCCTCACATAAATCGAATGATTTATGTGCGCATACCTATTTCGTGCCTTCCTGTACTAATGTTTATGTGTTTGAATATTACTACTAATAATAAAACATTTTTAGTGAGTAGTAAAGAATCCATCTTTGACATCTTGAAAGAGTTAGGTTA